GCTGGGGGCGCTGGCTGGGGGCGCTGACTGGGGGAACTGGCTGGGGCCACTGGCTGGGGGCGCTGGCAGGTGGGGCGCTGGCTGGGGCAGTCCTTCCTTCGGAAAGGACTTTGTCTGCCCAACAAAGCTGAGCTTAGTTTCTCACTGTCCAGCAGCCAGGCCCAGGCCCAGCCTCCCGGCCACACTCGCCAAAGGCGGTCCAGTGCGGCCCCCGCGGGGACATCTGCTGTCTGTCTCCAGCCTCCCTCCCGTCCTCTAGAAGAATCCTTCTCTTGGGAGGGGCTGTCAATCGCCACATGCCGGCCTCACCCCCTCACGCAGCCTGCTGTGGGCGCCGCGGTCACCTGGGAGGCTGCTCCTCGCAATGGGGTGTTCTGCGCCCCCTGCTCGAGGAGCGTTTGGACTGGCACGTGGGTGAAGGAGCTTTGCGCCTCTGTGGGTCTCGCCCATCCCCGTCGGGAGGCTCCTCCCGGTACTGGCCCGAGTGTCCTGGGCAGGGCCGTCCCCGCGTAGGTCAGCAGCTGTGGGGCCTGAAGGGAGACACCCGAATCTTCCAGAGCAGGAGCTGGGGCCCTCAGGTGGCCCTGACCGCCACCCCAGGAGGGCCTGCCTCGATTTCCCGAGTCTGGAAAGTGGGCGCTATACCCACGACAGAGCCAAGGCCGCGTCGCGGTTGAATGAACTCGAGTGTCTCAGCCTGTGTGTCTGTAGCTGCCATCTCCCGGCCCACAGCCTGCAAGTCAGGCAGTGCACTCCCCAGGAGGGCCGGGGCCGGGGGGCGCCTGCTTCGGGGGTGTCCTGAAGTGGCCTTGTAGCAAAAGCTGACCAGCCGGGCCCCACAGGTCGGCCTGAACCCAGGGGAGACGCTGCTCTGACCAGAGCGGGGTGTCCTGGCTGCACAGGGGCAGCTCTCCCCACGCTCTGCCCCCGGCACACTGCCCCACATGGCCTCTGCCCTGCTGCACCCCGCAACGACCCCGGCCAAGGGCTTTTCCTCGGATGCCCACCCAGCCCCGGGCATTGGCCTGGGGCTTCCTGCGTCCTTGCCCCACCTCTGCTAAGGGACCTGCTTTCTGCACCTATAACGTGACGGAGCGGGGCTCTGTCCCAGGCGGGGCTGGACAGGGGGTGCCAGCAGCCCTCGGAACATGTCTGACAACAGCTTCAAGACTCCACAGGAGTCAGGAGCAAGCGCGGGGGGGGGGGGAGCTGGGGAGCATCACAGACAGCCCAGGAGCTATGGATTTTCCATTTTTAAGTAGTTGGGGAAAAGGGCCCTCCCTGGGGGCGCAGCGGGTTACAGCGCGGAGAAGTTCAAGCCACTTCCGCAGGAGTTCGATCCCCGCAGGCCCCAGAGGTGACCCCAGGGCGCAGCAGACCTCTCCTGACCCGCCCGCTGCTCCCCTCAGCAGTGGACTTCCCCTATCTGCCTGTTCTGCTCCCCGCTCTGTCTCTGGGGAAGCCTCTTACCGCCCTGCACCTCTGCCTGTACCCCAGTTCTGTATGCATAGATAAACCTTTTTTAAAAAAATAGTAGGGGGAAATGTGACAATTACATGAAGTTCAGGTTTGCACGGTAGTTTTCTTAGAACTGGTGCTGCGGTTCCCTGGCCCTGGTGGCGGCCGCTCGCGGTGCCGGTGGGGCTGGCTCGGGCCACGTGGCCTGAGTGCAGGCGCCGCTGGCCAAGGCGCTGCGCGGACAAGTTATTTTCCCTCTGCCTCGTCTCCAGCCCTCGAAGGCGCCCTAGCCGTCCTGGCTTCCAGACTTGCCGAGCACTGGGCGCGCGATCATTCTCAAGCTCTGAGAACGGCGCCTGGCACACAGAAGTGCCCTAGATGGATTCAATTATTTCAGCTCTTTAATCCTGTCGCCCTAAATCCTTGATCACCACCGTCCACACCAGAGCAAAGGGCCTGAAAAACCGTGCATCTTTGTGCAGCTGGACACACACGTGTTCTTTTTTTTTTAAGATTTATTTATTTATTTATGCATACAGAAATGGGGTACAGGCCAGAGATGAGGAGGGTGAGAGGCTTCACCAGAGACAGAGCGGGGAGCAGAACAGGCAGATCGACGAAGTCCACTGCTGAGAGGAGCAGCGGGCGGGTCAGGAGAGGTCTGCCGCGCCCTGGGGTCACCTCCGGGGCAGGCGGGGATCCAACTCATACGGAAGCGGCTTTAGCTTCTCAGTGCTGTGCTGTAACCTGCTACGCCCCCAGGGAGGGCCTCACACACGTGTTCTTTAAACGTGCCCCTCCGTCCTGTCCCGCTCCGTCTCCTTCCTTCCCACGTGTCCTCGGGCCAACAGGCAGCTCCGTCAAAGTTCTATGGCCCAGACGGGTTCAGATTTGCTACATGGAGACTGTTCCGAGCCCCGCAGGAGCCTGCTGGTGAGTGACACCTGCTGCCCCCCACTTCACTGCAAGCAATGGCCTTTTTGCAAGCACTCCTGAAAGCAAAGCCATGTGCTAAGAATTGCCCACTGGCTCCCCTCGGTTTATCTGGGGCGATGTGAGGAGCAGCCCTGCAGCTAACATGGGGGCGCTGGGTGTGACCGCACCTGCCACCCGCTCCCTCCCCCACCAAGTTGTGTGGGGCACACACAACCCTGCCTGAGACGCCACCTCCCAGCCTCCTGTGCAGCGTGGCCTGGCCACGTGACTGCTGGCACCCCCAGGCATGCATGCAAGGGCGCCACTTCAGAGTCTGGGCCTGAGGACTCAACCCCACCCCAAACTGTAACCCACAGGGGAGAGGGAGCCCCAAGGAAGGGCAAGGCTGCCAGGTGGACAGAGCCGGGGCCCTGAATGACCTTGTGGAGCAGAGACCTCCCCTCCCCCGCCCTGCAGGACACTCACTGGAGAGGGTAGGTGCCTGGGCTCTTTGCATCACTTTCTCGTGGTGACCTAGGTTTTAGCCAAACGGACACAGAGCCCCTACAGTCCAGTTCCTCACAGATGGGGGTGCACCCCCACGCCGTGACCCCCATTTAGCTGCAGCACCGCCTCCCACCTCACAGCCCTGTGCTCTGACATCGACTGGCACAAAGCCTGCTGGCTGCAGACAGCGTAGCACCTGGGTCTGAGAACACCCGCCCGGCACCAGCCCATGGTGACCGCTGTGCCCATGTGCCGCAGGGGACAGTGCCCTGGCCTGGGCCCTACCTGGAGGGAGAGGTGGCACCATCCCTGCAACAGGGAAAGCCCAGCAGGACAGTAACCGCGCTGGATTCTGTCACTGCACCCCACCCCCAGCGTCCAGGTGGACCGCTGTGCCCCAGGAAGTGGGTGGCGGGGCCCACTGGTGCCCTCGGTCACCTCCAGGAGGAAACACCCCGCGTGTGGTTAGCAATAGACAAGCTGTATTTGGTGCCAAGATGGTTAAAAGCACAATTCTGACATGAAAACGTGTTCTGCTCTGTGTCAGCGGCCTGCCTTCTAAGCCTTCTGTCGGCGGTCCTCTAGATTCTCCTCGCTGCGAAGCTGAAATCCGAAAGGCCGATCATGCTCGTCTTCCTGGACTCTCTGAACGGAAAGGAGACTCCTTAGTGACTCCCCCGGCCCACAGCCGGTGCCCAGGCCAGCTGGGCGGTTTTCCCTCAGGGTCACTCTCTGCGGGGTCTGAGCAGCCACCGGACCTCTGTGAACAGCCTGCTCAACTTCCTTGTGCCTCACGGGCATCTACTCGCCGGAGGCCGGCTCTGTCTTCCGGGTGCTCCCTGGCCTGCGGGCGCCAGCATGACAGCCCTGTTGGTAAGGGGCTGGGCACAAGGCCTGCCTTCTCCCCCCCTAAACAGCACCTCCACTGTGGGCACCGGCGGGGTGGAACCACAGGGCCTTTTGGTCACCTTGGGACGTGAGAACTGCCCGAGGCTCACTGCAGAGATAAAGTGGACGCCAGCTCGAGGACCAGCCCTGGACTGCATCTTACCTCCAGAAGCACCACGCTCTCTCCCGGGCCACGCTGATGGGGCAGCCTCCGTTGGCAGGTTAGGGGCCGGGGAGACTGGGGGAGAAGGGGCCCCACCCCACCAGCCACAGTGGACCCCAACCCACCCGGCTCCAGAGCTGCGGCCGTCACTGTCTTTGCCGTGTTAGCCCCCAGCCGGGAGGGCTAACAGGGCTGGAAGCAGAGCACGGGTGGTATCCCCAGGGCCTTCCCCTCGGGCCACAGGCAGCACCCCACAAATGCAAGCACTGTCCCCACAGCCAGGCAGGGGCTGCTCTGGACGTCTGGGGTACTCCAGGGGCCCAAGGAAGGGCTCCACAGGTGAAGGCCGGGGCTGCTGTGGAGGTGGAGGCGTGGAAGGCCTTGGGACCCTGCCCCGGGGGCCGAAGCCTGGGGTGCGGGCCCTGTGCGGCCTCACCTTGAGCCCAGCCTGCTCCCCTCTGCACCTCACAACAGCTTCCCCGGCACAGGAACCTCCAGCAGCGGTGAGCTCAGCCCCCCCACTCCCCTCTGCGGTGCCCAGCACCCCCAGGGCTGCTCTCCTCTGCACTACCCCAGGAATGGGGTGGGCCGGCGATGACCGGCTCCCGCGGCGCCTGCCGGGAGCGCAGCAGGTCTGTGGCCTCCGGCCTGCTGCGCTTAAGACCCGGGTGAACGTTCTCAGGACAGGACAGATTTTCTCCCCATCGACCCCAAATCCCTGCTGCCCCAAGCCTCGCTCCCAGCCGGCTCTCTGGGGCTTTGGGGCGCAGTCTGTGCCTGCCTGTCTGTCCACCTGTCCGCCAGGTGCCTGACCAGAGCCGGCGGGCAGAGACGGGCTCAGCCCAGGCCCTGGCCACCAGGGGGCGCGGCGACTTACAAATTTCCCCTCACAGTGTCCAGGTAGGCTTCGGTGTCCTTTTGCGAGATGTCCCGGTCCAGCCCCGACAGGTAGCGGTACACGTAGGAGAACGTCTCGAAGGGGATGCGAGCAGGCCCGCCCTCGGGGTCGAGGGTGAGGATCTCACACAGGTGCTTCATGGCGGAGTTCAAAGACTGAAACACACAGACCAGACGGGGCGTCAGGGGCCGGCAGGGGCCCCCACCCCGCAGAGCAGAGCCTTCTCCAGGCGCAAGAGGTGCAGGCGACAGCGCCTGGCACAGGGAGAAGGACAGGCGTTGCTGGTCCCGCCTGGAAAGTGTCTAACTCAGATTTTATAGGAACAGGCACTCGCACTCGATTCTTACTGGACAGCGCAGGTCCTTGTTTTTCCACCAGCAGACCGTGGCAGCCCAGACCCCTTTCCCGGCCTGCGGCCTCCACCACTGGCCAAGGGAGACCGGTCACCCCAGTCAGCACCGGTGCCCGCCCTCCGGTCCTGCCCTTGGCTGGCTCTGTGGCCTGGCTGGCTGGCCCTGCCGCCAGTGGCTCGCAGTGGGGTACCCGTGCACCCCCGCTGACACGCCCTGCTGGGGGGTGGGACATGGCCCCTCCTGGCCAGCGCAGGGAGTGAGGAGTGTCCAGCCTCACTGCCGAGAGTACAGGCGCAGGGGCCTTCCTGGAGCCGGCTGCCCACTGGGCCATTCGCAGCCACTGGACCCTGGTTCCAGCCAGGAGTCACCTTTCCAGAGACTCTGGGCCCCGCAGGGGGCCTCTGCGCCCTCCTGCCCGGGGGCTGGCCCGCCAGCACAGTGAGAGGTGGCGGCTGCCAGCGGCAGGCAGGGCTGGGCACAGGAAGACAGATGGGGCCCGGGCCAGAGCCGGCTCAGGGGAGCCACCGCTGGGCTTTCCTTCCAGAACTGCTCCAAGGACAGGAGCCGAGCCGCTGCCCCCGCCCCAGGGCGCCTGCGGGCTGGCAGTGAGATAAGCGATGGAGCCAGTGGGGCCCACAGCTCTGAGGGCGGCCTGCCCGCCACCCCTAATTGAGCTTCATGGAGCCCGCCTCTCCTCTCAGTGGGTTCTTGTCCTGAGAGGTTTGCGCACTGAAGACGCGGCTCTGGGGTCCGGCGGGTGCGAGGACCCGCAGCCTGGGGCTGCTTCTCAAAGCCCGGCAGGCAGAGGCTCAGAGGCTCCAGCCTTCACAGGATCGCAGCTCAGTGCATCTGATCCGAGTGATTTTGAAGAAAAAGGAAGCGGTGCAAGGTGAAGGATGTGGCCCCGGGCGCCAGGTGGGGGGCAACGAGGAGGGCAAACCCCAGGAGGGACCGGGCGTCGCCCCGGCGGCCCGCTCCCGCAGCAGGCAGGCGGCGCGTGTCTCGGGCCCCGCCGCAGGAGCCCTGCGTGGCCTGGTGGGGGTGGGGCTGCCACGACCGTGGGCCCCCAAAATACCGACTATCCTGCTTTCTCACCTGACGTAAGTCTGCGTTCACAACGGCGGTCTGAGGCGCCCACAGCGACCTCACCTGTCGCAGGCCGGTGAGGGAGCGGACCCCGCCACAGGCCCCCCCACCACCCGCTGCGCCTCATGCCCGTCCCCCATTCCCCGAGGCTCACCCCGCCGAGCATGCTGCAGCCCAGCGCTAAGAATTTCATCCACTCGATTTTGTTCTCGCAAGGGTCCAGTTGCAAGACAGCTCTGAATTTTTCTACTGGCAGACACAAATTTTTCCATTTCTGCTCAAGATCGGCCAGCTCCACGTACGACTTGTGGCTGCACTGTTGGGAAAACGCAGGACTCAATTTATATACATGTTTTAAGAACTGCAAAAAGCACACAGCGAGGCCATGACCACGGGGCTGGGCCGGGGCTGGCTTCAGCCTCGGGGCCGGCGCTCCAGCCCCCAGTGGACTTTCTCTAAGCGTGAGACGGCGAGGCTCTCGCGCCGGGCCCTCTGGAGGCCCGGGCCTACGGCCCACGGCGGCGGCAGCTGTGACTCTACCGGCTTGCTCGCAACCTGCATAAGCACGCGCGCAGAAGGGACCCGCGGCCCTTGTGTCTGGGTTCCACTTGTTGGGTTTTGGGGTCTTGTGTTTCGTTGCCACTTTAGCCACAGTACGGAGCGTCTCAGTTTGGGTTTGGTGCTGGAGACGATTGTGTGTCCCTGCCCCATGACCTAATTATAAATAGCTGTTGGGGGCTCTCATGGGAGGACAAGGAGGCCCCTTCTTAGATTCCTTCCTGGACAGAAACCTGGAAGGTCCGTCCATGCAGGAAAAGAGCGGGAGGGGCCAAAGGGGTGTTGCCGCCCTGCAGGCGGCGGGGGGGAGGGGGGGGGGCCCTGCTTCACCCAAGCTTATCCCCGAACCCCGAGTGTACCTGCTTGTGCAAGACTTTCAGGAGTCCTTGAGTCAGACCGGTGTCTGTTTTCTGAGTGGCCACAGGCATTTCAATTCTGTCCTTCACGGGAAGGGGGTCTCCTCTGGACAAAGCTGAAAAATACCTGACAACACAGCCGCCTCTGTAGACTCCTCAAACGCAAGGGGCCCCTGAGGGCGGCTTGTGAGACCCCTGGGGGTGCCCAGGGGGCAGAGGGCTGCAGTCCCTCGCTCTGCGCTCTGACCACCCTTTGGGAGAGCCTCAGTTTCTCAGTCTGCAAAGCGGCCTGACACGCCCACACGGGTTCCCGAGGGAGCAGTGGAAAATCCGCTACTCAACAATTTAAAGTGTTTCAGGTATTTGTGAACATAAAATTGAGCTTCCAAATGTGCTGACTGAAACAGGGCAAAACTGTAAAATCCTAAAAGGGTTCACTGTATTGGTTCTAAACTCTGTCTGCTTATAACTTGAAAATTTCGTTTTTGGAAATGATTAGAATGTCTGCTGCAAGAAAGTGCAGCCTCCTTGGTAAAAACTAAGCTGGGCAGCGGTCAATCTCCTTGCGATGATGACCCCACATCCTCTCAGTTGTTTTGGTTCCAACAGAAAGGGATGCCTAACTCTGAAGGGAAGTGGGTCAGACTCACAGTGGAGTACTATTCAGCCATCAAAAAGGATCAACAGTGCCATTTGAGGCAACATGGATGGAGCTGGAAGGAATAGTAAGTCAGAAAAGGAAGCAAATACCAGATGCTGCCGCTTATATGCAGAACAGGAATAAGTCAAGGTTCAAAGTCAACCAGACACAGAATGCCCACAGGTGCTGCCGATAGCCCTGAGGCAAGGGGAGTGAGGCATCAGCGCAGCGGGGAGGGCGCACAGCGGATCCTCGCTGGGTTAGGATGGGGGCTGTGGTGGTGGAAGCGTTTTGGGGACACCCCGGGATCTTGCCCTCCTTAAATATAGAGTAATGTAACTAAAAAAAAAAAAAGGAAAAGGCAATTAGAAAAGATCCCTTGTAAAAGCTGCTCCACAAATAAAGGGCTGTTTGGCTTGACAGCACAAGGCAGCAGCTCTCTCCCCCCTGCCGCACGGAGACCCCGGCCGCCCCAAGGCCCGCGCGGCTCTCACCCCGCGGACCACTGCAGCACGTCGGCCGGCTGGGTGCGGATGGCCGCCTTGGTGAACTGCTTCAGGATGTCGGGCAGCTCCGGTGGGATGTGGATCTGCTGCGCGCAGAACATGGTGTCGGGGAGCGGCATCGCAGTCAGCGGCCGGGGCCAGGCGGGCAAACACCGGCAGCTGCGGGGGGCGGCGGGCGGCGCGGCTCAGCTGCTCCGACGCGGGGAGGGGCGGGCGGGGGTGGGACGGGCCGGGCCCGGATTTGGAGCGGAGGCGAGCCGAGGTCCCCCGCGCGGTGTGCGGTGCGGGGTTCCGGCCGGAGCCGCAGTCTCGTGCTGGAGGCGGGCTGAGCGCTTTCGTGGCCCCGGGCGGCCGGTGGGGGCCGTACCCGCTCCTCCTCCGGCTCCAGGGAAAATGAGGGCCAACCGCCCTTCCAGCAACACCCTAAGCCCCGCGGCTCCCCTGCGCCACAATAGGGGCCGGCGCTATTGTGGCGCAGGGGTACCCAGGCAACCGGACGCGCGAGGACCCCGCCCCGTGTGGCGCAAGCGCACTCGCCTCGGACCAGACACCGCGCTTGCGCAGTGCGCCCCCGGCCGCAGGTACTAGGCGCACCTTCGCGCTGCTTCCACCGCTACCTGTGAAGGGCGGTGGCTTCACAGGGGGCCTCCCGCCCCTGGCTTTGGCTACGGAGCTTGGGGCCTGACGACTCTGGTGCCCGAGGGGCTCGGGCCGGCCTGCCTGCCTGGAGGCCTCGAACAGCATGCACGTGTCCCTGCGGGCCAGGATGCTGCGGCCTCGCGCCTGGGCACCTGCTGCGCCCATTGCCCCGTGGCCCCTCCAGATCGCAGTTCAAAAGGCACTTAGCGTTCATAGGCAGTGGGCTGTTTCCAGCTGGAAGATGATTCCAGTTTTCCTGCTAGAACGGCTGAGCCGACCTGATTGGCTCTGAGAGGGTACTGATAAACAATAAACAGGCCTTGATCAAAGGGCAGGAGAAATGCTGATGCTGGCGGCAGGCAGGGCTGTGGACTTTGGGTGAGCGGAATACTGACTGGCCACAAAGAGCCCGGGAGGCCCCTCGGGGAAGACGAGGACTAGGATCTGCTGTTTCCAGGGGGCCGCAGACAAGGCTCTTCCCTTCTCCCAGGCATCCACCCCCAGCATAGCTCCTCCGGCTCAGCAACTTGCTCCAACTTGGACATTTTTCCAAGGCGGCAGCACTAGCACAAGCTGCAAATCATCACCATCTCATGCTGATGACCGTGAGGGGAAACAAGACCTCTCACACAGAGAGGAGAGTTGACAGGACCTTTGGAAGAGGGAGCGATTCATTACCTTCGGTATTTTTGTGACTTAAATCTTCCAGGAACCCATGCTAGGGAAATACTAGTCCACGACCATAAATGTTTACCATATTACATTAAACCACAGCTGCCTTCTAGAAAACGCCAGCTTCAGCGACACAGTGGAATACAATACAGCCTGACACTTTAAACGAGGGGCTGCTATGGACTGGCCTAAGGAGATGCTCAGGGAATTGAGGGAGGAAATTGCTCCCTGGAGAGCCTGCCCCTTGCAGTGATCGAGGCGCCATGAGGAGACAGGCAGGCGACCTCCGGGAAGGGCACCGGGCTTTGAGGTGGTATCTTAACCACAAGCATCATCGTGCTGGGTTTACCCAGCATACTGAATGCCAGCTAGGTCCCAGAGGCTGTTCTGGGGGTACAGCTGTAATCCCCAGTTGTTTTTATAACCTCCAAATTTTACATTCAAGTGGGGGAAAAGTGCAAATACAAACAAGACAGGCAAGGCACTCCCCCTCCCCAACTACAGGCATGAGAGAAACAGCGGCAACCATTAACCACCTGAGGGTACCCGGAGAGGGCACCCCAGTAAGGAAATGGGGAGGGTCTGGCTGGCCAGCAGGGCAGCCACAAGTTTGCAGGCCCGGCTGGCTGCTGTTCTGGAAACAGGCTGCCTGGAGCAGCACCCACGGGCAGGGAGTGCGGCGCCCGGACACCTGGCAGAGCCCTGAGGAGAGGACTGATGGGCTCTAATTTAAATCTGAATAGGAGCCCTCCGGATTCAGCATGGTGCACAGGGTACGGGGGCAGAGGCCACCCAGTGTGCCAGCGAAGACGCCATGGTGATAGCCAGGGAACTGGCTCCTGGTTCACACTGTAGACTTGTAGGTGACGAAAGCATGTCAATAATGTTCCTACGGGCCGCCTGGTGGCACAGAGGCTAGAGACAGCCTGAAGCTATCCACAGCCACAGCAGCACGAGTTTGATCCCCAGCCAGGGAGTGACCCACCGGGCGCTGCTCCCCTCAGCAGTGTATTCAGTTGACCTGCCTGTTCTACTCCCCACTCTGTCTCTAGTGAGTCCTCTCACCTCCCTGCACCTCTGGCCTGTACCCCAGTTCTTGTGTGCATGACTAAGTAAATCTTTTTAGAAAGTGTTTTCAACTTTTTTTGGTTAAATCCAGCTGGTTCTGTACCAGTTAAGGTGGGGTCATCTGGGCCCTCCCTGGTGGCACAATGGGTTAAAGCGCAGTACTGTGAAGCTATCACCACTGCAGCACAAGTTCTATCCCCAGCCAGGGAGGTGACCCACAGGGTGCAGCAGACCTCTCCTGTCTTGCCCGCTGCTCCCCTCAGCAGTGTATTTCACTACATCTAAGTGTTCTGCTCCCCATTCTGTCTCTGGCGAGTCCTCTCAGCCCCACAGCACCTCTGGCTTGTACCCCAATTCTATAGGTATAAATAAATCTTAAAAAAAAAAAGATGGGGACATCTGAGAAGATGGCAGATTTGGGAGGGGGGGCCGCCCCAGGACGAGAGACTCAGCAGAAGAGCTGATAAAGGAGTCAAGAGGGCAGGGGCCTGAGTGATGGCACAGGGTTACCTCACCAACCGTCCACGTGCACAGGGCACAGATGCAGGGGAGCGCAGGCGCGATGGAATGAACCCGTGAAAGCTCTGCTCCCAGTGCGTCCAGCATTTCAGGGAAGTAGGAGGGAGAGCCATCAGGCGGCCGTGTAGATGGCGGCTCAGGCCGAGGCAGCCCGTCTGAACACAGAACTGCTCTTTTAAATTGTGGTAGAAGTAACATGGACAACACAAATTATGCATGGTCTGGTTTTGAAGATAACTGGTACCTTCAGCCAGAAAAACTGTACAGTCTGCTAGTGTTGGGGGGTGTACACATGCACCCCGCGTCCCGTGTCACCACCGCTTCGTTTATGGTCCTCTGATGTCCAAATTCCTCCCAACCAAATCAGCGTCCACCCCCCGTCCCCCCCTTCACCCCACCTGGCCTCTAGCTGTGTCTGTGGTGACTCTGCATTTTCTGGTTATTTTGCATACATGAGAGCACGAGGCAGACTTGCCGCGCTTTTATTCGGCAGCTGTTTTGGGGCCTGTCCGTGTGGCTGCGTTAACTCCTTTGTCAAAGCAGAGCGCCGATGCGTCCTGGCGTGCGGAGAGTGTCCGGCCGTTTGCTGTTGCAGCTGAAGCACATGGACCCCGAGTACAAACCTCCCATGGACAGAGGAGGGTGGGAGGTACCCGCTGTGACCGTCCCAGGCTCTCAAACCATTTTCCAAAGCAGTGTGGCACTCTGCCCCCAGCAGAGTCCCGCCGGAGGCGCCCAGTTTCTCAGCCCGTGCGCACGGAGGTGTTCACGCTGCCATCCTGCGGGCGTGCAGCGGTTGCTCGCTGCCTTCAACTTGCATTTTCTCCAATGAACATTTTCTTATGTGCTTATTGACCATCTGTATCCTCCTTCGTGTTCACTTAAATACTTAGCCCACTTTTAAAGATATTTCCTCTCCACTGAGTTGAGGCTGCGCGTATTCTGAATGTGGGTCCTTTATCAGAAATGTGTTGCAGGCGCTCTCTTCTCTGCCTCGCTGTGGCTTGCCCTAGTTTTCTGAAGGGCAGGTTCAATGAGCAGGTGTTTTCAGTCTTTATCGATAAAGTTCACTTCAGATTCATCTATGGATTTTTTTTTCTTTTCTTTCTTCCTCTTTTTCTTGTAGAGCTCATACATCAGGGCTATGATCTACTTTGACCTCTAACATACTGACGCTGCGGGTCAGTTTCAGTCTGGCAATGGAGGTCCAGTTATCGTGGCACCACTTGTTCAGCTTTTGCATCTTTGTCATAAATCCTGCGTCCACACACAAGGGACATGTTCCTGGCCTCTGCTCTGTCCCAGCAGGCCAACAGACTTGGACAGCAAAGAGCAAGGGGTGAATGGCCTGTGTCGTGAAGCGCATGCGCTCAAGTTCCTGCACACACATGGGGAAGCAGAAGCTGGCACTGCTCCACGTGCCAGGGAAGGCATCTCAAAGAGATGTCTCAACAACGCCACGCAGCACAAAAAAGGAAGCTCCCAGGAGCCTGCCCTCCAAAAGGCCGGCTGTGGGGAAGAGCGGAAGCCGAAGGTAGAGGCTGAGAGGACTGTGGGGGTGGGGCGGGAACTGGGTGAACCAGGGCAGACACCCTAGGAGAACCCCCGAGGGCCTCTCCGGCATTACATTCAGTCCTCGGGCACAGCGTCCTCGCGCTTCTGTTCTCTTCCACATTCAACCGCTGGTACCAGTGACAGCGCTGAAGCCAAATGGACACCAAAACAAGTGGGGCGAACGTCCCTCCAGCCCCTCACCCACTCGTGGGCTCAGTCCTGTGCCGGCTGCGGAGGGGCTGCCGGCTGCGGGGTGGGAGGGGAGCACAAAGCCACTTTCTGAGGCGCACTGTGCCACTTCCTTTGCTGCAAAATCTCAGCTCCACAGAGAAAAGATGCTCTACGGTTCGGATACCACTGCCCGAAAGTAAGCCAAAAATGTAGTTGACCAAGGAAAAAAACATAGGAAACAATCTGAACCTGGAGTAAAAGGAAACTCACAAGCAAAAGATCTTTGTGCACGGGGTTCTGAGGAGGAAAAGCCCGCCAGGGATTCTTTTTCCTCTGTGTGGTCAGCGGCACACAGCTCAGGCTGGTCCTGCACGGCCGCCCCCAGGGCCGTGGAGGGGAACTTCCCGGCGAGTCTCCATGCTGGGTGCTCAGTGGACCTCTGAGGCTGCTCGGAGACTCCGAGCAGCAGAAGGGGCGTGCCCTGCCACACTTTCACTCTGAAAGCAATGTGGCGCGGTCTTCTCATCTAACTTGAGTTACTTCTTCCTGTGTAACTCTCACGCTAAAATACGATGGGTCCGCTCCCTCTGCTGACAGTAACACACATTTCTGTCATTGTGAAGCATTCTTGCAACAAATGCAAAAGCACAAACCAAGACCTTAGACAGCTGACAGTCACTTTATTCAAACCTGTCCTCCCAGAAGGCACCAGGGGGCCACACAGAAGAGGAAGCCCTCTAAGACATCACCGCATCACATCAGCCTGGTAACCGTGGGGCTTGCTTTAATAGAAAGTGACATCCCCAGTAACTAAATGGTCTGATTTCATCGCACAACAGCCACGTCTAGGTCTTCCCGTCACTCCGTTTCCATGAGACAGTTACTGTCAGGACCACGAGGAGGCACTCGCACAGACGGGCAGCACCGCAAGCGAGGGAGCGCGCCCTAGCCCCTCAAGAGGGGTCAGTTCTGGAGCTCTGCTGGGAGGATCTGAAGAAGCCCCGCCGGGACTGTTTCAAAAAAACGGCAGAGGGCGGCATGGGTGGGGAGGAAAGCACCTGACTCAGGCAGCCAACCAGGGAGCCCGAGAACCCCTCCAGGCTTTTTAGCCCAGTTAGGGGGAGACATCCTATCTCTCCCCTCGGCAACTGACGAGCTGACTAAATACTGAGGAGGCAACATGCCAGGAGTATTTTAAGCTTAATCACTAAGTTTTACAGTGTAAGACTTTACAGTAAGTAGAGAGCCTCACACACTTAGTCCTGAACGTTAGTGTAAGGCGTGAGGTCTGCAAGGCAGCCGTGTGGCCTCAAGCAACAAGTGCCCTGAGGCAGCGTGGCACACCACGCCCAGCGCTTCTGTTTCGTTTTAGGTTTTAGGAAGTCCGGTGTCAACCTAAATTCAAGAACTACACTTTAACAGTAACATTTTACCAACAAAGAACTGATGTATCCTAGATCAAATTTGAGGGAAAGTTAATCTCTGGTACTTGAATACGGAAAAGAAAAAAAAAAAAAAACACAAGACAAAAATTCACAGTAATAACAGTTATATTAACATTGAAATAAAAATTACTTTTACATCTGGAATTGAGGTGCCCAATCTCCACTGTTTCTCTAAGAGAATTAACAAGATAAAATCACCTGAAAACATGGCGTTCTCTTAAGGCTAGCTATGCATATTGGCATTTTTCTCCAGTTTTCATCGTAACTATTAGTACTTAATGGTTTAAAAATCAAACATAATTTGCTAATAATAAACAACTGCACACTGCATACTATGACCATTTGGTAATTGGTCATTAAAACTAATCCCAAATGTTGATTTGTTTTCAACTTATAAAGAGTACAAATACAGCAAAAAGGTCCTCTTTCCTAATCCATCCATGAAGACTATTTTATGGCGCAATGTAAAATGAAGCAAAATGACACTACCACTATTTAAAAAAGGGTACCCCACAGGTAGCGGTACTCTGAACTAGAGGTGTGAAACAGCTCTACGACTACTGTGGTTAATAAGATCTTGACGCCACCCGAGGTTATGCCAGCAAAGGCCCTCGCTATGAAAGCATCCACCTCAGTGAAAATAGCAGGACAAAGCACGAATGAAAACCAGGGGACTCCTGAAAAGAAAGAGGTAGCTGCCTACCAGGATGTGGAGCACAAACTCTCTTACTTTTTTGTTTTACAAAACATCTGGTAAGATTCTTCAAAAATTTGTAGAATAACAAATTTTACTCTTGCAGTATCTGTTTAGTTCTCTTTCTGGTAAAACTGATAATGTTCCCCAACCACTTTGTATCAAGAACTACAAATCTCTAAAAAACTAAAAAATATATATATATAAATTAATATAAATCAAGTTATAGGCCCAATTAGTTATTTTCTCCCAAAGAGAACAGTTTATATAGACATACACCATCAGAGGTGCTATTAGTTTTAAATGCTCCTAATTTTTCACAGCAGGACTGAATTTCTAAATAAAGGTGGGCATAGCAAAGACCTTATTCCAAACACCAGAGAAAGGGCTACTTGCCCAAAGTGCCAGGATGTGTAACACTGACTCCTATGTCAAGCTTTTTGTTTCTGATACTGATATTTAAAAATATATTTTAGAGTAAAGTAACTGCTTACCACTTCAGGAAAAATTGTGGAACTATAAAACCACCAGAACATGTTGCTTTTGATTTTGGTAGCTTATGATTGGCCGGTTTTCGTATTTTAAAAAAATCCTCAGATTTGAATATCTGAATTTTAATACTATATGGAAATTATTCTACAGTTTCTGAGGACCTATGTTGTTGACTTTCTCTGAGAACACCTAAGTTATCATCCCAAGCCAAACACTAGTAGCCTTAAACACCCATCCTCCAACACTCCGGCTGTGAGCCTGGCTGTTGTATTTCTGAGCTTCAGAGACTTGAGCTTTGGTTACGTGAGAAACCAAGTTAACTTCTCATTTCTGACCTTACAGTTCATTTCTACTGAGAGCTATACTCTTGTGTTAGAAGGCCAGCTCAGTCAGCCTCCTTTTGGATCAATAAAATCAAGATGTTTTTACTGGTAGTTTTATTTTGTAAACAAAAAGTTCTAGACACTTTGGGATTTACTCATGGGAAACTAGGAGAAAAGTTCTCACTAATCCTCACCCAGTGATGCCAGAACCAGCAGGACTCGGTGTTCTGCTGTCCCCATCTAGACAGAAAGCCACACCCACACGTGATGCATATCTCCAGACGCCCCAAGTTCTGGTTGCTGCAGTACCACTGGTGCTATTACTCTGAGAGATTTAAGACTGAACATGACTTTTGGCCACTGTTGTCAAAAAAGAAGAACAGACAGCTCTGTGTGACAAGGGACAGGGGCTTACAAAAATTTCCTTTTGGACAATTTTCCCTTCTACGTATAACATGCCCCTAACAAGCACAAAAACCCAGTTCCCAATGCTGATCACTAGAAACATTAAATTATCAAAATTAAAAACAATTTCCTCACCTACCACGAGATACTACACAATATTACAAACACAGACACATGGGAAAAAAACAAGCAGTAGAAAATGTACAACAGCTTTGGTGTTACACAAAATAACTTCCAAAAATGATTGACAGTGAAGCACAAAGTTCATGTTTTCTTACCACAGACACTCCGCCGCCGACTTCTACTCGCTTCTCCTCACCTTCCTGTAAGGTGCGGACAGCCAGAACAGGCAGATGTGCAGCCCACTGCCGAGAGCCGCCAGGACACTGGCACCGGCCCCAGAAGTCACTGGAAAGGCTCCCTCTGCCCGACGGCTCTGTGGCACGCTGCCTGTCAAGATCACAGCAGGTCCAAAATAAAGTGACAACTAGATTTAATAAATTAATATACATTTTGTTTAAAGATGTACAATGCACATTCTGTTTAATCCAAAGTTTCGGGGTATCCAGGAACTCCTTATTTACACATGTACAGAGCTCAGCCAGCGGCGACATCAGAAGATGCAGAAAGGCAGCAGAGCCTTCCACGGCTGCGCTCCGAGTGCCGAGCACGCGAGTCAAATACATTTAACTTAAAACAATGCTGAGAGATCACCGGGAAAGTCTCCAAAGAGAGAAGTCCACAAGAAAGGACACGCAACGGCAAGGGAAGGTCAGGGGCCGGAGACCCTTTATTCCTGGGATGACGCTGGCGGCGGAGCTGCGCCCTGCTTGCCGGATTTCCGCTCGTAATTCACGAGGCGCTGGCCCACCAGGTATCTAGGTATAAAAAGGGAGGTCACTGTCTCACACATGCTCGGACAGACAACATTCTGAGCAGGGGCAGGGCGCACTCTCTTTTAAATCAGATCCCATCACTTCACTCCCACTTAAAACCCTTTCACGGTCATGTAAGTACTAAGAGAGTCTCGAGGCAGGAGAGTGAAGCCTGCACTGGAAGGGGCTGCCCAGACCTGGGGTCTGAGACTCAGGTGTAGTCGTCACTGCTGTGGTATTCTGTGCCCTAGACTGACACAGAAATTGGAAGCGCAGGGCCTCCCTGGTGGCGCAACAGGTTAAAGCGCGGCACGGTGAGGATGCCGCAGCCCCTGCTGCAGGAGTTGGACCCCAGCCAGGGAGCGACCACAGGGCACAGCAGACCCCTCCTGTCTCCCCGCTGCTCCCCTCAGCAGTATGATTCCGTGGATCTGCCTGTTCTGCTCCCCATTCTGTCTCTAGGGAATCCTCTCATCCCCCCTCACCTCTGGCCCACACCCCAGTTCTTGTGTGCATAAATAAATTTTTAAAAAATGAAACGAGTCTACAGAAGTGGCCTTGCTAGCCGAGCTGGCGACCGCTGGGCTCAGTGTGCTCACAGTGCCGGCCCCAGCGCTCTCCCACCCTCCGCTCATCTGCCACTGTCCTCTACACACACGGGCCGGCGAGGTATTCTGGCAGTTAAAGTATTTCACTGCTGAAACATCTCACGGACAGTATTGGTTCTTCACAATCTTACTCGTTAACGCCTTCTTGTAGGTCTGCCAGACCATGACCTGTGAGGACTCTGTACCATCTGACCATGTCAACGATGACACTGCGCAGTACCTGATGCCACACACCAGCGCTACCTGACCCGTGCATCATAACCCTCAAGATTGCCAGCCTTCGAGCAATGAAAGGGCAGAGTAGAAAGCAATGCTAATTCACTACAGGAGCAAAAAGTAACTCAGTGGCAGAAAAGGGGCACCCGGAACCCACACCCAACCCCCTGCTGCCCCAGCCCCTGTCGTGCCCAGGCCCACCACGCAGGGACCAAACACCACGTGTCAAGATGGCAGTTAGCAGCTCAGTATTTTTCTGAGTAAAGGAGATAAAAGAGTAGCCTGGCTTTAGGCAAAGAGCAGAAAATAACGCCTAAGAAATGACAAGTGGGTGGGCGGGAAAGGGCCACTGCGGAAGGCCAGGAAGACAGGCGACGCGTGTGAAGGACAGAGCAGAGTGCCCGGGGCCGGCTGGGTTTACTACCCTGCCTGCGGCATTCCCTCCTGTGTCAACACGCGTGGGGACCAAGTTTCCTCACCAGTCGCCTCCTATTCTCTCATGGTGGACTGAACTTGGACTCCAGCGGCCAGTGTGCTTGTGTCTCACTGTGAGCACATGCTCTGGACAAGCCATTAATGTCCTGAACTTCACTCTGAAAAGTGTTATTTTTAAAAGTCCTCAGAGTGCGTAAGGCGAGCAGCTAATCCGCTGCCCGCAGTGGTACTCACGAGCGAGGAGGAAGCTGCTGGTCGACGAGGGCCGTCGAGAGCAGAGCCGGGCTCGCCATCCCTCGGGATGCACACACAGGTGCCCTCTCACACACCAGGGGCCAGTGGAGCAGCCTCCGTTCGTTCGTGTGGCTGAGCAGCTGGCTCCTGGCCCAGGAAGGCATGTTCCCTGGGGTTTGCAGACTCTCACTGAGGCCAAGCCGTCCCACAGCACTGTGCAGGACTCCGATCTGCCTCTCTCAGCAACAGCGAATGTAGCCTAAGGCCTTTGGTTCCAAGAGGAACACAGGCAGCACTGCTTATTCTTCATGTGGGCGCCTTATTTTCATCTAAACTGTTTATTGGGGTGTCAGATAACAAGAACATCTGAAAACACACTGACTGCATTTGGGAGTCTTGCCGTATCCTGCTACAGCGCAGGCGCCAACAGAGACCCCTACTTTCATGTTAAACACCACCACTCCCAGCGACGCTTCGCCGCCACTGAGCGGCAGCGCCAGACTTCCAGGTGCACAGCCCCCCCGAGCCCGCAATCCCGCTCTTTCAGACCCTATATCCAAGCTTTCCGGAGATGCTGGTAATTCCACCCAAAATATATACAGAAACTGAGCACTTTTCCTTCCTTTATCACACTAGGCACAAAAATTAAGCAATGGACTACCTTCCAGAGCAATGGCAGGCTGCACTTACTTGTCATTTTTAATATGTTCATAAAGGCGCTTAAACTGGCGGACCTGGAAGGACAGGATGCCCATCAACACCACGACCATCAGTAAAAAGGGGTAGATCCGCCGGTGAACCAAGTTTTGCATTTCTGCAGTAACACCTGCAAAAACAAAACCCAAAACACTTGCGGATATACAGAGCAACAGTGACAGCAAATGTGTTCTTTCTCTATGAAGCAGGGCATGAGACTTGGTATGACGGGGAAGGAGGCCAGGGAGGGGGCCAGACTGCGAGGCCTCGGCCAGAGGCGGAGCTGGGTCAGTGACGTCAAGGTCATGTTTTAAAGGTCACGAGGGCAACCACCTGAGAACGCTGACCGACAGCAACAGTGAGCCTGGGTCTTACGAGGTCGCCGTGGAGATGCACGGTGGGCTGGGACCAGTGCAGGAAGTCAGGGCAGGAGACACGTCACCTGCACTAGCCCGGGCACAGGGCCAGCGGCAAGGGACAGACCCTGGAGGTCAGATCAGGGAGCCGGCCCACCTGAGTGCAGGGAGTGATGACCTCTAAAGGTCTCTGACTCACGTGACTTGTCAGGTGATGACAGAGGGGGTTTAGAAGAAAAGCATTCAGAGGGAGATCACTGTCCTTTTCTGACATATGCCAGGTCTAAGCGCCATGGAAAACATGCGCTGCCAGCGGCCGGAGGCTGCGGACCGCAGCGCTTCTCCTTTGTGCTAAGAAATTTCTCAGAAATTAAATAACACTTTTTCTTGGCTTTATAAGATTATAGCATGTCTTGACAGGGGAAGACAACTATTTGGGGGAGATTGTAAATGCCCATACTTTTACCCGAGGGAGAAAAGGCATGCTGAAGAGCTTTGTGGCCTCGCTAACGCCCCAAGTAATCACATCTAAGGAAAGTACACGCTGCACCATGGCGTTAGCTGGGCTCGAGCCTGCAAGCAAAGCGCCTGGAGTCAGCCAGCCCGCGACACGGCCGGCGTTGTCGGTACTCTCGCGCCTCCTGCCAGCGCTACTCACCGAGTAAAGGAACGACACCAGACGCAATGACGTAAGGGACGCACAGGGAAAGCAGGAGCACGGAGATCACTGGGGCTGCCAGCTTACGGATGATATAGTGGAGGTCAATGTTCCGGATGCCGTTGGCATACACCTGAAGGGGGAAGGGAGCGTGGGAATTAGAGCGTAAGGCTACTGAGCAAATTCCTCTGGATTAATAGAACCACCGCTACTGAGCCACAGAGACTTGAATCTGCCCGCCTGCCAATTCACACTGTCTTTCCAGAGTCAGAGCTCGTCCTGCACAAACACAGCAGTGGCAGCCTCAAGTCTTTCCAGAACGTATTTACCCTACACTTCGTGGCTACCTGTACTGAGGGGTGACGTGAGAACCCCCACGTCAGCTTGCACTAAGCAGTACCAAGCGGCATGTAGCACTGGTCATCTGAGACACTAACTGAAGTACTGCGTGTTTCGAGTATATTACTCCTCAAATACGTTACTCAAGATCACATCATATCTGAACGTAAGAGCGCACTGTAAATATTTCTAAAAGGTTTGTCTAAGTCAAACTTTAACAAAAGATACTTTATGTAAAAACTAAAGTATGAGAGAATTCCACAATGATAGGCTCTGACTTATCAGACGTTCTCCAGAGAGAAAGACTGGACGGAAATGAAAGCCTCTGCAGTCGCAGGAAATGAAGACAGCATGCAGAGGGCAGAGAGCACTTCTCTTCCCCTGGCCAGCCACATGTGCCCTCAGGTGAGGTCGGGGCGTGCAGAGGCGAGTGATAAACAGCTCACCTCCATGCCTCCTGAGGAGCCCTGTCAGCCCGGTGCACTGACATCAACGCAGTGAGGCCGCCTCGTGCTTCTAAAGCAGCCCCAACCTTTCCACAGCCCCACACATGAAAGAGAGGCGAGAAGGGATGCGCCAGAGAACAAGAAATGGCGATGGTCACCCAGGACCCAGAGGCCTCCAAGTGGGATTCCACCTCCCGTGACACCCCTCCACGCGTGGTGCAACTGAGACTCCAGCACAGCTGGCTGCACACCAGCCACTAAGCGGGACCTCAGCCCCTCAGGGGTGGAAAGGAGCGGGCAGACACTCCAGTTTCCTGCCCGTCGGGAAGCCTGGGGCCACTTTCTTGTGCATGCTGGGCTGAGGACGGAAGCCTTTTACTCACTGCATAAGAAAGCGGTAGCCTGACCGCTGCAGCACTCCACCCCCCACTCACGGGGTATGGCCTGAAGGAAGGCAGCTGCTCCAGGGGCATTTCCAAATAACTGAAGTGCCAAAACCTGCTAGGCTGCCTTTTCTGGACAGAAATCTCGCTGAAGTGAGAGACTGACCTCCTGGCCTTACCGTCAGAAGCACCCTGGCTCGGGTTACCACCGCAGCGAGCGACTGCCGGAAGACCCCAAGCCAGCGCGAGTTACCCTCGGTTACTACACAGCTGCGGTGCTTCCAAACTGCTCTGCTTTTCTTAAGTTGTAATTCTTTTGTCCTTTCCCCTATGCATTCCCTAGAGTGCCTTTCTCCCCTCTCTGTAAGCCTAGAAACCAAAGAGTAAGGCTTCACAGAGCTCCTGCTCTGGACATCAGCACACAGGCTGACTTCTGCCTGCACTTCACACAGGACTCTGGTTGCTTTAGTTACTGGTGAAAAAGCCAGTGAGTCTCCGAGCAGTGGGTGAAACTCATGGTCACATCACAGACAATGCCTCACTCATAAACAAACAAAGGTTATGTACTCTCACTAAAGAAAACAAACAAAGGTTATGTACTCTCACTAAAGAAAACATAGCAAAGTGGAACAATGCAACGTAAGCTGTCCCGTAAGTCAAACATCACTGCCATCACTCCAGCCTATTTCTATACGGCGACTCGCTTACCTGCTCAATCACGGTCTTGAGCCACCACTGTGGGCCCATCAGTGTGATCGCTGCAATGATCTTGGCATGCAGGACTCCAAGTGCCCAGTCCTAGGGCAATAAAATGTTTGTTTAATTCGTTGGTTTGTTCTTAAGTAGTAAATCCAGCATGCAAACTCTGTACAATTTTCTTACCTCAAACCGAAGTCTTTACAAGATCGGTAACAATTTTACATCAAGCTAACATATGCTGGAAAATACAGAGTATTTTCTCCCGTCAGTTCAAGGTTCCTATCAAGAATCATTCTTGTTGTGTATCTTTCAGGGACATACTTTCCCCCCAAGATTATTAGGAAAGTGTGGACATGAGTGGAGGTCTTGACAAGCAGGACACTGCCTTGGTTTCCTTTCACTACACTATTTTACCTACAACAAAACATACAAGTTCAACTTCATTCTTTTTCTACTGCTGCATTAGATTCCAAAGCAGATATACCTGGCACCTTATTTAACCATTCTCTTCTGGTTATCTAATTGCTTCTGATCGTTTTTTCCATTGTAAAAATCACCTTCAAGTCACTGTGTCTCCCCAGTGAGACCCCAGGTAATATGGGACAGAGAGTGTTAACACGCCCTATCTGAATTCCTGTTCCCGGCCCGCGTGGCCCGCAGGGCCCAGTGATCAGTGTCTTAGGGCAGCAACAGTACTGAAGACCCCTCAACTTGTGCCAGGCGGGTTTAGCGCCTGCAAGCGGTCCTTGGTGGAATGCATGCTTTGTGGACCTTAGAACAGTGACATTCTAATTCTGTTAATGAAGCTGGTACTGTTCTGTTAAGAAGACAGCATCCATCAATCTGCAGCGCTGTGTGACGCCGCTGCGGTGAGGTTCGTGCAGAGACAGCAGACATAGCTGTCGTCAACATTCTCCTTCACTGCTTGGACTCTGAAGGCACCTAGCCTGGCGGCAGCCCCCACCATGCCCCAGCTCGCCCATCTGGCCAGAGCCAGAACAGGGAAAACACCTCTCCCTTTCTTACTGATCTCGTCCCTACCAGGCTGTCCTGACATTACCTCCCACAGAAAGCTACATCGGAGCCCCCCAGCCAGGTTAAATGCCTCTGACGGGAGCCGCGGCTGCATGTGCCTCCCGCCGCCACAGTGCAGCTCCTCTGCACACGTCCGCCTCCCCCAGCCCGTGGTGCCTCAAGGACTTCCTGCACTGGCCTCACTTCCCCGAGTTCTCAGCACAGGAGACAGGCGCAGACTGAACACTCAAGTAAGATTTGTGATTTCCATGAGCTCTGGGCCTTTGCTATAACCTACACAGGTTCCCTCTGAATGCTCTTTTTTAATATAACCAGGACTTTGTGGGAACACGTGGTAATTACTGAAGAGTTACTGCTTAAAGTTTTAAAGCCAACAGGAGGAAGATACCTCACCCTAAAAGAGAGGTGAAGAGATTAACATTTTAGTTTGCACTAATGAAGAATCCCAAATGAATAGTGCCACCTTAGCCTAGACAGTAAGGGCTTTACTTAAACTCCTATGTATTTAAAATAGGAGTGACAGGGCCTATGTGTTTTGAAAGCAAACAATTAAAATGGTGTTTAATCAACGTTACAAGGGTCCCTAAGAAAGAAAAAAATTAGTCTTCCTAAATAGTTTAAATCACATTTTAAAGAATGGAGGAATTTTATAATCCCAAATTCGTAACAAAATACCACAAGCAAAGAGACAGACTTACCTGCCATGGGTAAAAAAGAGGAGTCTGATCCAAGGGGACTCGCAGGGGAGCGACAATGACCAGCTCGAACAGAAGCCCCAGGAGGAGGGGGACAACCCCAGCCAGCAGCACCGCAACGATCAGAGTCTTCATTATCTACACGGAATGAGACGCGTTCACTAAGTCTGGCTAGTAGCCAAATTCTACTCCATTCCGAAGTTATTTTTCTTCTCTCACCCGATGCCTGACAGAATAAAAATCCTACACAATCTACACAAGTCATGTGTTTCAATGCAATTTCTAAAGACCTAAGAGTGTGCAAATAAAACATGAAATAAGGTGTTGCTGCTATAAAATTATAGGTAATTAATTTTTTTTACGAATTAACCCGAAGCCTGTGCTGTTTTTCTCCTTCGCAGGAAGAGGCCTTTTGTTTGTAGAAGAAAAGCTACAGGCCCTGGCCCGATGGCAGTCCAGCCACAGGCGGTCAGAGCCTGCTGAGCAGCAGTGCAGAAAGGCCACTACAGTGACCCACCGGCTCCCTCCGGAAGCCACCATGATGACACGTGTCCTCTGTGTTGCCCAACACCGTGATCACTACACAGTTACTGTTCTCAGGGGTCTAGATATTGGACAAAGTGACAAATGAATGTTCAGCAGACACAAGGAACCAAGGGCCAATGCCGGGAAGGGAACTTTCAGAACTCCTGACAACGAATTAAGTGTAAGTGGCCTTCACGGTTGCCCTGATGACCCGTGACCCCACTCTTCCTTCAGGTAACCTCATTAGTACACTGCTTCCCCTGGCTAATGCAGAGTGCGCGAAGACACGCCACTTGCTTCTTTACACAGCAATGTGTGGGGACAGGGTTGAAGACTGTATTTTTAAACAGCGGAATGTCTCACCTTATGGCTTACACAGCAATGAAACCCCTTCACTCGTAAGATACAATGATCTCTTATGTTTACAATTTTGTTTCAACACTAATATTAAATGGCTACTTAACTTCCAGTGAAACTGAAATACAAAACTAAAGTTGATTATACAAATAATAAAAGGCTTAAATATATTTACCAGTCATACCTGAACAATAATCTTACCTTTTCCTCCCCAACATTTGTAGAGTATTAGCTTGTTCCATCACTTATTACACTTTTAAGTAAGTCAGACAATTCTTAAATTCCGGCTTTAAGCGGAAACTACTAATTAAAGAAATTTCATTTGTGTGGAAAAAAATGACATGATCCTCAAGTCAAGATTTACATGTTTACATAGATCAAAATAATCATCAAAGTGAAAATTCCACTCCAACTAACTTGGTTTTACATTCTACAGAATATTTTAGTCCTTAAAAATGCAATGAAACCTCTAAGTAAGTTTTCTATTTATGGTACGGACTTGAGGGCCTTACTGGATCACTTAATAGCACTGTTCTCCTTTAACATGGTTCCTTAGAAGGAACCAAAATGCTACTCTTTTAAAAGACTTTCCTTCTAACTAAAAAGATCAGCTCTCTTGACATTATCAGCATAGTGAAGAAATCAAGTGTAAGGATTTTTAAAAATGGCTGGGGGCCCGCCCTGGTGGTACAATGGGTTAAAGTTCGGTACTACAAAGCTAGCCTCAGCATGAGTTCGATCCTGCCTAGGGAGGTGATCCTCATGGCGCTGCAGACCTCTCCTGTCTCCCCACTGCTCCCCTAAGCAGTGTACTTTGTTGGTCTGGCTGTTCTGCTCCCCACTGTTTCTGGTCAGTCCTCTCACCATCCCTGCACTGTACCCCAGTTCTGTAAGCATAAACAAATAAATCTTTTAAAACAAAATAAATAAATGGCTGGGCCCATCAGAAGGACAGATCAGCCTTAATGACAAAAACCTACCATGAGGGACCACTCTTTAACCTTCTGGAAGATCACTCTGCGTCCTTGGGGCATCCAGGCCACCAACACGGTCACTGCCCTTATGGTTAGCCAGCAAACATAGAGGCCACACGCAGCTGTGTAGAGTTCGTGGATTTTGGCAGTCCCCGTCCAAAATGACATTAACCAACGGCCGGCAAATACTGAAAACAGAGAGGCTGATAAATGAGATAAATGGCCATATAGCGAGACCTGTAGCCCTGATGCTAATGTTCTATTAGTATGTTCACGCTGGTAAAAGGACATCATATTATAAATATCGGTATCTATGTTAAGAAAAACACCCCACAAACTCAATTTGATGAAGACGCAACCAGAACACAGGCAGTCACTGGGGACAAGCTCTCCTGAAAGGGCAAGTCAATTATTTGTTCCTTGGGGCCAGAAAATGCACCAGGGGGCTGTTGGTCTCATTGTTTTTATCACCAATTAAAATCATTATTTGCATAATAGGACATAAATGAGAACATTACAAACAACAGACTTTCTTAAAAAGTGGCTCATTCATCAAGACAGAATACTAGTTTACTTTAGTAAGTAGTGAGGCAGTAACATGTGAACGCACAATAACCTAAGAATAACATATTTGTCTTAGAAAATATACTTGAAGACTCTATGTTCCACGGAGAGCTGGGCACAGACTGAGCACGGTCAGTGCTGTGGCTTCCCTAGGGAGCCTCACCAACGGCTATGCCATGTCCCCCGGACACTGCTCAGGAGCCATCATTTGCACGAGTTCTCTTTCCATGGTCACTTCTTAACAAGGCTAGAAAGAACAGCAAGACCCGAATCTCCAGCACCTACAACTGTTTTCTCCATAACAACATACTGACTCTACAATTTCTTGAGACCTCCAAGGACCTAGTAGCTGTGCTAAGCACTTCCACACATCATCTCATTAACCTCCAATGTAGCTACCACACTCATTCAGGTCGAGACACCGAAGGGAAGCAAAAGCACTCTGCATACACAATCCAGGTCACAGTGGAGGCTGAGGGTGTCACGGGGACCTACAAGAGGGAGCTCGCGCTCCTGGCCTTGCTGAGCTAGTTCCGTCTTCATAGGAAGTCAGCCCCAAAGCTGCCCTCACCCCTTACAAAATAGCACGGATACTAAGTTCACTCATTCCTGTAGACAAACACTTGTGCTGTATGAAATAAGCCCTGTGCCTATTAATCTGAAGATACAAAAATCACCCCAATAATTCTGCAGCAAGTCTCCTGCAGTGTGCATGTTCCTACCTCAGCATTTTTACTGTGGTAGGTTTTTTGTTGTTGTTGCTAGTTGCTTGTTTTTGAATATTTACTGGTTGCCTTCTATTCCACATTTCACATACTTCTAATCAAGTGTCTTTGAAAGGACAGAATCATTCTTAGTTGTAGTAACTTAACAGCAGCTAGCTGGCATGGTGGGGAGCCCTCTTGCATGCCTGTGACACCTCGAAGGTGGTGCCCCTCAGAGGGGGAGGCAGAGGTCAGGTTACCAAGAAGACATTTCATTATTCTTTGATGGAATTTAAGGAAACTTGAATATTTAGCATAACTTTTATTTACAAATAAGATATCACATTAGTGCTATGATCAAGACTAGTTCAGTAGACAGGTGTGTTTGGTAACAGCAATAAATCACCTTCCACTACTTAAGTGGCTGGCGCACCAGCATGGAGGGAGTGTGCCCGCCGGTGTGGCACGGCTGGGATGCGAGGCAGGCCTGCCACAGTGGCACTAGCTTTGAACCTCGCCCCCATCACTGGGGCCTGTGGGAAAAAGGCCCCAACACTGCATTAACTCACAGCTTGCTATGTGTTAGATGAAATCGAAAGATAAGCATCTCTAAATAATACCAAATGGTAAAATAGCCTGGCTTCCCAAACATCTAAAGACTGGCTTGAAATAGGGAGGATGCCATGCAACAACATTGTCAAAATTCACACGTAGTAAGACAAGATCCAGGAAAACTGAGTGATCAGTGTTTCACTTGCAAAAATGAATCATAAAATTACATCTGATTCTACCCAGCTTTACTCTAAAGCTGTAAGTGAACCTCAGTCAATCAAAATGAGGGGAAAACGATTCCACATTTGTATTCACACAAATATCACATAAAAATACCCCTTTAGTGAAATGGTGATGGGAAGTCCATGGGGATGCAGCTGAGATGGAAAAAGGCACAAAATGATGTAAAAATAAACTATAATAATAATAACAACACCAATACCATTTTAAAGCAAAGCATCTTTTCATGATGTCATTCGCTAAGAGTGAGGATTGGCTCCTACCTGGTAGAGTAAGGCAGATGAGGCTGGCGATCAGCAAGGTTATACACATGAAGACAATCAACAGAAAGATCTGCAAGACAAGACGAAAGAGCCTGAGCGGGCCGAGAGGGAGCAGCGAGGCCTGCCCAACCCTCCCGCGCCAGCACAGCCCTCCCAGGAAAGGCCAGCTGCCTAGAATCTGTTATTTCCAGGTTTCCTTCTTTCCACATAGGAAGGAAAATTTTATTTTGGATAAGTTCACCTTTGCGTCAAAGAAAAATATATCTCCATTTTCATACAATCAAATACATCAGCAAATAAAAATTCATTTTTAAATCAGAACATAAAAATAAAGCCATCAATTAAATTTTCCATATTAACTGAAAGCACTCATTCTGTCAAGTTCTCAGAAACAAATTCTCAATGAAAGGAAAGCTCCCTCTGTAACAGTGTCCACGCAGATCATCCTGTGGGGATGGAAACTTCTGCTGGAAACACCTGAGGGGTTGATGTCGTTAGTGGCCACTGGGCACCCGGCATGGGGTCAGTGTGTCTGAGTAATGGGAGTTTCCAGGGCTTTACTTGGGTGGGGGAGGGGGAACTGCCTACAAGACAGGCAGTCTTGTAGGGACTTCGCTCGCCCAGTCCCCGAGGCCTGACAACAACATACTCCAGCGTGTGATGCGGTTAACGCGTGCTCACTCCCACCTTGGAGGTAACTATCACAGGCAGGCGTCACAATTTACAGACTGCATTACTGTCATTACGTGTAAACAGAAACAGCCACTGGCAGCAGTAGCTCCTCCGCTGGGCTGGGCAGAAAACAAGCACACACTGGGGGAGGCAGCAGTGGGCGACAGGCGGCCACCCCCGCAGCCTGCGCCGACACTGGAGTGTCTCTGAGCCTGGCGCACAGCGGACAGCTGGAAGGACCGAGCTGCCTGTCCTCAGGGAGGCTGAGGCGCTGGCAGCCGTCACTGCCCGAGACCCACCGGTGGCAGCCTGTCCGTGACTGTCCCAACCAGGCCAGAAAGCGCCTTTGCAGACCCCTAGCTCATCTCTCCGGCCCCACCCACTGCCACGGCAGACCGCCCTTAGACGCGCCCATGGCCACAGCTCCCGGCCACCTCGTCGCGCCTGCTGCCTGTCCCGGCTCGAGCCAGGGTGCCCTCCCCACGTCCCACACTGCTCTCCGCCTGGCCTGGAACTTTAAAGACTCAGTTCTGACACCACCGCCCCTGTGAAGATCCTAACACCTTCCAGAACTGTTCTGCAAGCTGAAGAGTGAGGTTTCGTGTATGAACACTGTACTAACAACATGGCGAATAGGGCCGAGGCCAAGAACAGGTCTCTGGAGGTTAAAGCACAAAGGTCACCAGCCCACTGCGAGGGGTAGCTCTGGTACAGTTTGGGAGAAAAGTTTCGCTAGGAGAGGGATGTTCTCGAGTGTGGCAGCTCTGAGTGAGGCTCCCGCCCTACCCCACAGTGTTTGGATAAGGATGAAACAGGAAAGGAGGAGACTGCCCATTCCAGCTCCTGACACAGTTGAAGTTTATCAAAATGTTGACTTCTCATGTGCTCCAGAATGTTTTCATTGTTCCTTTTAAACAGTGAGAAGCACCAGTTCATGGGACCCCGAATCTATAAACCAGCTCTCCGATTTATAAGCTTGTAACATACTGTCGTGTACCAGACTACAACACGTGCGCTGGTCACAAGAACGGAGGACGTGCTCACAGGGGGATGCCCCGCTAATACAAGAGCACCAAAACCTCTCAGCATAAATGTGCACACGCGTGGCTTCTGGTTGAGTGGCACGGCACCTACCCTGAGCGGGAAGTGTGAGGGCCGGCGGTACGGCTGAAAGCCGACAGGCCCTCCCTGCTGGAGTATGGCTTGGTGGGCTGCGTGCAGGCCCTCCCCCACCACGGGGATAGCATTGTTGTTCCGAGCGTGCTGGTTATTGTTCACTTGTTGGTTCGCACTGTTCTCGTTTTCTTCCTGGTCTCCCAGTAAGTAGGAATGAAGATCCCTGTGTAAAAATTACATCAGTGAAAACTCTCACTACAGATTACAGCCAAACAGCAGACACGAGACTTACATTCTCACACACGGGGTAGAAAGGCCCGGGGAGCCTGCGCGCGGCTCCAGCACGCCGACTAGTCTAAGCTGTGCTGGCTCTCCGCTAACCGTCCCAACCTGAACGCTCCGTAACGTGCAGAGCACCCACACATCCGATTTAGCTCACGTTTTCTTCAGTCAGTACCTGGGAAATCAGTAACTGAAAACAAAAAAGGGCAGGGTGCAAGATCCTCTGACTTGATGACCTTCAAGGAAAACCGCAACTTGGTTTTTTTCTCAGTAGAAGGCTGCAGTGTTTGCCACACGCAGCTAGTTAGGACTTCCCAGCCACAAGTCAGGGCCAAAATAAGGCGGGCTCGGGACACGGCAGAGGGCTTCAGACGAGAGAAGCATTTAATCAAATACAGGCCAATAAAGCATCTCTGCAGGATACCACGTATCTTCTTAAAGTTTAGATCATAAACTCAACTTTTAGGAAAGTAACTTTCAAGTAAGCCCAATAGGCTTTCAGGTAACACTCTTCTGTTCAATGCCACATGACACTGCAATACCAATGAGAAAAGGAAATCCTGCTCATAATGACGGAAGGAGAAACCTGTGGAGGTGCCTATAAAACACAGTTTGAAAATACAAATACGACCCACCGACTTGATGACTAAGAAACCAAATCTGAGAAGAGATCAGACGAAAACATCGAAAATAAGGACACATTGCTTGTTTTTAATGTGCGACAAGCCATTTTCAGGCTTGCCGAGTTAACGATGGAGGGCTCGGGCAGTTGCGGCCTCCGGAGAATGACCCTGCCTGCTCCACTGCGGAGGGCAATGACCAGAAACGCTTAAGCATTTTTCGCGTTAGGTTTCATTTCTTAGCCTCTTACTCTCACAGCGGGTGTCACTGAACTGTCTCTTACTAAAGCGGACTTTTCCCAGGTGGGACAGGACACACTTTTCAGAAAGACGGGAGAGCCCGACACCCCACACGCGACGCCCTCCTGTACTTACAGCAAGTACCCAGCGGTCACCGTCCAGGCGCGCACCAGCCCCTTCAGCCACTGCCGCGTGTGGCCCTGTTCAAGTAGCGCCGGCAAGACAACCTGAAGCAGAAGCAGCTCAAGGGACAGTTCGCTCACGGGGGCGTCACTGAGACAGTCACAGAGAGCGTCATTCACGATGTGCACTCATTTTCCATTCTGGCCACATCATACTACACATTAGTGGGACGAGACCAAACCCCCGAGCCATGTGCCCCCAAGTCTGTTCACACCTCCTCTCCACGGCACCTCGAAGCTGCAGGGGGTCCCCTCATGTGCTGCTGAATGCACAGTCCTGGTCTGTGTTAGCTGAATGTTACGTGACTAGTCACTCCCTCTGTGCTCTTAAAGACACCTGCCTGAGACCGGTCTCCCCAACTGGAGACCCACAAACTGTCCTCTCTCCTCTCACCTACACGCATGCTCTTGAGGTGAATGCAAACACTCCAAAAGTTTACAATCACCTTTGTGTAAATTTCTACCTATTACCCTGACATCTTCCCCAACCCCTAATTAATTTATTGAAGCGCCAACTTGACAGTTCATGGGGACATCTTAGGTTGGGCAGGCCCGACATCTAACTCCCGCTCATCCTCTTAGTACTGCTCCTCCAGTCTTCGTCCCAGGAAATGGCCACTGCGCCCCCTCCAAGTTCTCGGGGCAGGGACTTGGACCCATGACTGTCTTTTTTCCAGCCCACTTTCAAATGGCCAGAGGATCCCACAGAACTTAAGCTAGGAAGACCCTAAATCTAGCCAGTACTTCCACTGCTACCTCCTTCAGATCGCAGCTACTCTCTGCATCTCATGCCAGGATCACAGAATTATCCTGTCCGCGGGCCCTGCCCTGGGGTCACCCAGAGACACCAGGCGCCTTCCATCACAGCAAGAGTACTCCTCACTGAACCTATTCCAGACCCCTCCTCTGCTCAGAACTCCCAAGGTAACTCCTCAACGCATTCAGGTCAAAATCAAGTGCTCAGGATGGCTGAGGCACTCCATAACTGGCTTCCAAGATCTTGCTAAGCTCATGGCTAACCACTTTGCTTTGTCACCTTCAATCTGCCACACCAGCCATGCTGCTGCTCCTTGCACAGACCTTAGCACCATGGCCTTTGGGAACCAGCACGGCCCATTCCCCTTGACCCCACTTTGGCTACTCTCTCCATCTCCTTTCTTTGCTTCATTCTCCGCCCCCACACACATCGCTTTTAAGGATTTAATGTGCTACTTATTATATATACTGTTTATTAATACACTATTTCAACTTGCTATCTCCCCCACTGAAATGCAAGCTCCGTAAGGCTAGAGTTTTCTGTTGTTTTGTTCACAGTTCTGTCCTCAATGCAGACAGAAGTACCAACCCCTGCAGTTTTGGTGTCAGAAAAGAATGGACTACAGTGGGCCTATCCCAGTAAGATAGAAAGCCAGAACCATGCTTCCTGGCCCCCACGTGACCAGGCGAAACACACAGCAGGGAGTGAAGATTTCTTTCAGTTAAGAAAAAGTCAAAAAGAATAAAATCCTGATCTGGATTTTGAAGGAACAACAAAATCATGGCAGGCATGGCAGGCAAACACTGGGCTGGTCAGTCCAGGCGGAGACCAAGGGCAAGACAAAGAACAGCCAGGCGTTAGTGAGAGACACAAAGGTGAGTGAGTCGAGTCAACCAGGCTGGAATAAAATGCCAGAAGGCAGCATGCAACTATGCCAAGCCTGCACGTCATTTTAAGTGACGGTCAGCACCACACAGAGCAGGGAGGAAGAGGCAGAGAAGGCATTAGGGTGGATGACAAATGAGTAGCAAGAAAAGGCTAAATGAAGGTAGTGAAAAGCCGAGACAGTAAAGAATTAGCATTAGCAAGATTTAAAAGCTAATTTCAGGTAAATTTGAGGAAAAACTTCAATTTGCCTGTCAGACTTCTGGCTTAGGAAGGCATCATGCAAATGTGGCGGCAATGAGGCTTCCAGGAAACTTGGATATTTAGGGCAAAAGAGATTTCCAACATTAAGCTCTGTAACCTATTTTTAACCTCAATTTAAATGTGCAGCTATGGCTTTGTTCCTTCTGATGCGCCCTCATCGGAAGAGGATGCGTCTAACACGCTCTCATCAGGTATGCAGACATTTCCACGCCAAGCAGAGGCACGCTGCACCTGCAGTTAACTCCGCCTCTGGAAAACGCTGCTGCTAAGCATACGTGGTGACTGAGGACATGGCAAAACGTAACTCTCAGGTGATGCCAAACCTATCTGAGAAGTGTATGCCTTAAAGGTATGAACTCCATCAAATCCCTAACAGTGAATTAGTAAAGCTTTTCAATTTTAAAAACTTACCTGTAGAGCATGACATTGTACGGAAGAAAATTCGGCAGCAGACTCTTGATTATGCGTATGGGAAGCCAGAGCATCAGCAGGACAATGGAGCCAAAGACAATCTGCAACAAGAATAGGGCCGCCGTCGCTGCGCTTGGCTGCCGTGGGCCTTCTGCACACACTCAGGACACGAGGCAAGTCTGAACCACCCAGGGCCTCCGTGTCCTCACTCGACACACCACACGGGTGGCTCTGTGTCGAGAATGCATTCCTAGGGTGCTGCTTCCCTTCTCTCCAGGACACAGGGCTCAAAAAGGCGGCACAAAATAACAGCCACCACATGGTATGGGAGGAGAGAACTAGAACTCACAATGAAGGCTCAGAGCTGTCTGCAAGTGAACGTTAAGTCCATAACCACTGCAAGACGTGAGCCGTAGACAGGCCACTCAGGTGTCCAAGGGACACCATGCTGCTTCTAGACTTCCACTGTGGAGAACTTAAGATTTAACTAGGCTGTTCTGTCTTCCAGGCAGGGAAGAAACTTAAGAGATGTTTTTGATGAGAGTTTTAGAAGTTATGAACAAGTTCCACTGCTTTCCTGCAAATTAAATGTAATTCAGAGACCCATAGTTTGGCAATCAGTTACACTACAAAAAAACTCAAAGGCATTTCTGTTGTAGTAAATATTTTATCAAAAATGACCAATAAAACTTGACAACCAAGTTCCACAGGCTTGGATCAAACATCAATTACTCAATCTACTCTCCCAATCCCACAACAACATTAACAAAGGCAAAAAACCTAAAGGGTAGCAGACTTTAAAAATAATAAAAAGGTAGGCTTACCACTGACAAAATAAATCTTCGGAGATGCCTATAAATGGGCAAGTGGATCATTTCTTGTACTGGATTAAAATCTGGATCATTCAAATTCCTTAGAAACCACAGGACACCAGGTCGAAGTACCTGCAAATATATTTCAAATTCTACAAATATGTACCAATGTAGTTATGATCTGTGCAGGTCAGGAACTTAAAAAAGAAACTCTTATATAACTTTGGTCTCTTACAAGACGGACCCCAGAAAATTCAAATGGCTTTCCCACAAAAAGATGTTCTTTGGGCCACCCTGGTAGCCAACGGGTCAAAGCGCAGCACGATGCAGCGAGCTACAGCCACTGCAGCTCAAGCAGGGAGGAACCTCCAGGGCACAGCAGACCCCTCCTGACCAGCCTGCTCCTCTCAGCAGTGTGTCTCAGGGGATGCACCTGTTCTGCTCCCACTGTCTCTGGGGAATCCCCCTTCCCCCCTGCGCCTCTGGCCCACACCCCAGTTCTTGTGTGCATAAATGAATAATCTAAAAAAAAAAAAAGTTCCTTAATAAAAACCTTTATAAAAATTACCCTGTGTCTGACATCCTTTGATGCTTTTAATCATTCAATGCAACTGTTAAGCACCATTTGTCAAGAAATCCAGGCCTTCAGGATGTGACATGAGTGTCTCTAGACTGTCATCGTGGTGCCCTCTGTCGAAGAGCACAGGGCACTGTGCTGGTCCTACCCCCAGCAGTCGGGTAGGAGCCCTGTGGCTTTCTCAGCACCTTATTCCCTGTCCACACCTTTCCCGCCTCTCGGGGGTGACTGACCCAGACTGTGGGTGACAGGGTGGAGAGCAAGCCTGGCCGTCAGTGCCAGGTGCTGCAAGCTCACCGAGGTACTCTTTAGAGAGCATCTCATCTGCCTAGCCTGTTTCTCCATCTTCCAACAAGTGGGTGATAATGTGACCAGAAGCTCCGTAACAAGAAAGCCACACTGATAAAATCAAAGTATTGAGCACAAAACATTCTGTCACTCAATGTAATTTACAAGTTAATGGAAGATAATTTCTAAAATGCATACTGCACTGGCTTTTAGTTTCAAATGTGTTTAGAAGAAAGAATACAAAGCTTTCTTTGCAAACAGAATTCACTGTACTCACTCTGAACGACGCAGGGCAAGCCACTCTGGTTGCAGTTCTCTCCTCAACCCCTCAAACCTCACAAAGGGCAGAGCACATCCAGGGTGCCCACTGTATCCTCTGCCCCCACGGCCCGGCGGGACTGCCCTCTGGCCCAGCTGCCCCCATCGCCGCCCTCAGGGAACGCTTCCTCGCATTCCCGGGCGGCGGTGGAGGACAGGGGCCGTGTCTCTGCTCACGTGGGGTCACTGAATGCACAGCTGCAAGGCGCCTGTCAGTCGCTAGCTCTGCACTTCTCCCAGCACAGGGATGACTGAGAGGACACTGCACAAGCATCAAGCACTAACCCACTTTCACTGCCTTCCCGTCAGTGAGCCGTGTCCTGAAAACGGGCCTGGTGGCTGGCGCCACAGAGGACTCACTGGACTCCGTAGCCAAGGCGCCTGCTGCAAAGCCCATCTTACATGCCTGCCTTTGGCTAGTTCCCAGCACTGCATTTCCTGGGTACTGAACCCAAGACAGAATCACAAAACATAAAATTCCAAGAGTTCATAGTAGGAAGTGATAAAAGTATCCACCAAGTAAAGCAAGTACTTAAATTTTCCCCTTTAATCTACTCATCTTTCAAGATCCTAACTGATTATAGTGAAACTTGTCAATTCTTCATACAAATGGCTGACAATTGTTTAAAGCAATTTAATCAAATTCATATGTCAGTGATTCCCTATAGGGATAACATTGAAAAAGCGATTCGATTAGAAAACTGCCCAGCCCTGCGCATGCCTGTGCTTAAGGAAATCCCCTGGCGTAAAGGTGTGCCGTCAGCACGTCCCTGCGAACTCACCTCTCTCAGTAACAGGATGAAGGAGGCAAAGTAGAATACATAGACCATTCCCACCAGCCAGTGCAGAAACATGGTCGTCCCTGGAGCTGACTGAAAGCTCAGTTCTCGATCCTTCAAGGTAGCATCAAACATTTCCTAGACCAAAAGAGGGCAATGAGAGCTGTGCACTGCCTACATCTGACAAATGGACCTCTCCATCGTCAAGGAACTGCATGGAGGCGGCCGTGGTCAATGACTACAGTCTTCTAAGGCCACTTCATGGTGTCACAGAAATAAAATGACAGAAAGCTGGACACTATTTCAAAGATGTACATGACATTTTACAAATTTTAAACTGAAGCAAAACTGAAAAATCACTGGTAAGTAAAATAGGCATCTTGTTAGCACAATGCCTGCTATCGGACTGCATCACGACAAGTTTTGTAACGAGGCATGTGAGGAGACGCGATGTCAGACCCAATGGCAGCTTTTCCCGTATGTAAGTTATTTCTGAAAAGCCAAAACTTTCCAGAGTATAACTGACAGCCACTTAAACTATAAAGAGGGAAGTATCTTACTTGGTAACAGCTAAGGCTAAATTTACCAGTGTAAGGACATTATCACATTGTTCTCCTCATGTGTATGATATTTTGGCACTACTGTAAAATTTGGAAGTGCAGATTAAGTTAAAAAAAAAATCAATCTTCACTGGTTTTATAAAAGTTCTGGTCAAAATACTGACATCAAAAATTTGCCCAAGCCTCACAAAAATCAGTTACTCAGAAATCAGCAACATTATGTCTCCACAATGATACATTAAAGAGAGGTCCTAAGACCTCTCTTTGAAGCCTTTAAACTGGGAGATATGAACAAGCAACTCACCAAGGAGCAGATATCCAGCCACCAGCCACAAATGAGCGGGAACACGCCAATCTCTACTACCACCAACAGCGACACCTTAATGGGACAAAGGCCGTCAGTCAGTATCACCCAGGCGGTGCGGGGCAAACCACAGCCAGATGTGTTGACTTCTAACAGGAATTACCTTAACAACTATGTAGCAGACGCCCAGCAATCGACGGGACCTGTGAAATTTAACAAGAGTTGCCAAACCCTACAGCATCTAGTCAAGGAAAATGGAGCATCTAACAGCACGGGAAACGGGCAGCCAGTATTTGAGTGACACTCAGTATTTGACAGACACATTAAGTGATTTCATATTTTGCCTGCCTCATCCTTACTACAGAGACCTACAATTTGTATTAAGAGGACACAGTGAGCGGAACAGGGAGAGACACAGGAAGAGAGTACATGTATTAATAGTGTACAACTGCTTTCGGTATAAATACTGTGACTGTGCCCCCACACAGGCTCGTTAAAGGATACATGGCAGATGATCAGTGTTATTGCTAAAAGTATATACCCAACTATGGTTGTGATCAGGCCTTCAAAATGAGATGCTTGGACCTAGAAAAAAGAAAATAAACTTTAAAACTGTTGGGCCTACCTGGTGGTGCAAGGGCTAGTCTCAGCACACGACTTCAATCCGGGCCAGGAGACCTTTTAGTCGCAACAGACCTCTCCTGTCTCCCCGCATCAGTGGATTTCAGTCATCTGCCTGTTTTGCTCCCCACTCTGTCTCTGGTAAGTTCTCTCACCCTCTGCATCTCTAGCCTATACCCCAGTTCTTGTAAGCATAAGTAAGTAGAAATAAACCTTCAAATATATGTGTAGAACTGTAATTTTACCACATGGCCTATATCCCAGTTTAACAATGCAGTAAACAATCCAAGAAGACAAAAAGTGAACCACCGGGGCAGTCAATATATAACAGAAACAACTGAAGCTGTCCTTCTGATAGTATCTCTACACACCTCACCCCCACCCCCACCACCACCACTATCACAGAAGGGAGAGGGAAAATTTCAGAGGAACACGTTACTCAAACAAAGGGAGAGAGGAGTGAATGAACTTCTACAAGCCACGGGAACATCGCAGTCCAGCAGCCCCCAGTCCACGCCGCAGCGACTTGCCAAGGCTGAGTCCTGCGAGCCTGGTGCCCGCCCGGCCCGCAACCCATCCTGCAGTGGGAGCCACCAGACCTGTAAGTCCGGGGCCTCCACAGCAGCTCCCTCTACAGCCACCAGAAGGCAGTGTGATGGCCAGGGTGCCGCCCTCCGTTCCCAATTTTCAGACAACAGACTCATCAGAGCAGCTATCTGAACACGTGGTGTTCTCGCATTCAGCTGGCGGGGCTCAGGGAGCTGTGCTCAATACCACAGCCCGTCACCGTGTCCCCTCAGCCACCAAGAGTGAGTGCTCTCCAGAGTAACACGTGCGAGCCGCACAGCGTGGTTTAGAAACCTAGCCCTCCCTTCACATGACTAAGTACTTCCTACCTTCCAAATAGCACTATTTTCATGCAACTATTTACCTACCTGAAAAACAAGGGTAAAATGTCAAAATTAAAGCAAATTGTATAACTCACTTCAAGGTAAACTAGCTCTTTTTTAAATAAAGTGTATTAGTTTTCAAAATTCCCATCTACAGAAAGGGAGAGAAGAACACAAGTCGTCAGACCAAAAATCAGTGCGTAGGAAACATTTTTCTGATTCTGCCTTGGGTCTGCCTGAGAAGAACTGAGTCTGGAAATTCAGAGCACACAGCCCTCAGCTGGCAACACGGCCTGCTGCACCTTGGGTCATAGGTTAGTGTTAGAAGAACAAGGCAGTCCTGGCTAGCGACCCCCTTTGTATAAGGCAGCGTGAGAAATGAAACTGACGCTGCACATTATCAGTTATTCAACAATTCTCAAATGTGGAGGTGATTAATGAAAGAAGTTCATAAAATTATATACTCACATGTTCTTCAAATCCCAAACCAACAAGGGAGAAATGACCGATGTGGTAAGGACAAAATGCTAAAAAGGGGGAGAAAAAACTCAATGAAAACTTCAAAATCAAAACAATTCACATTCCAAATCTCAACTCCCCACTAAAAGGAACTAAGATTTCTTGAAAAAATGGCAAACTCCAGGACTGAGACCCAAAATGTGCTTCCTGGGACCTTCTCTATAGCCAGAATCCTCCGGTCTACCGGTTACCGGGGCTCACGGAAAGGACATAAGCGCCATTGTTAAGAGGCGCAAAAGAGCCAGGCACGGTGATGCAGGCCAGTGGCAGCGTGCATAGACAAGCCCAGGAGTTCATGATACTTGAGAAGCAGACCACCCGAAGCAAAAACTACTAAAATGCATAAAAGCAATATAACAGAAAACATTTGCAACAGCGATGGAAGTAGTTTTTACCCTGAAAACTGTTGAGGGAAAATTCTGTGTATCTGCCCTGCTGCTTGCGAACAAGTAAGTTCAGGTTAACTTGATAATTTTAGCCGATAAGGAACCTCCCTAGCGGTGCAGGGGTTAAGTCTCAGCACTGTCAAGCTATAGGCAGCCACTGAAACCCAAATTCGATCCCCGGCCAGGAAGCGACCCACAGGGCGCAGCAGACCCCTCCTGTCTTCCCGCTGCTCCCCTCGGCAGTGGATTTTAGCAGACCTGTTCTGCTCTCAGCTCTGTCTCTGGTGATTTTTGTTACTACGTCCCCACCTCCGGCCGTATGCAGAAATAAATCCTTTTGAAAAATTCTAGCTGATTTAAGTAGTTCTTTACAGAAAAATCAGTGAGAAAGTGTAAAAAAAATGACAGAACACAAAAACCTCCATTTTGTAATGCCAAGCAGGGAACAGCAAAGGATAATTAAAATCCCCAGGTGGATGCCAAAGGTGCACCCATGTTCGCACTGGCCACCTCCCTCCTGACACGTGGCACTGACAGACAAACGTGCCCTGAGGATGCCGAGCCGGCTCCGTCCCAGTCTGAGAGCGAACCTCCAGCGCAGAGTGAACTGACGGGACAGCCGGCCGACACGGGGCAGGGCGCTGCCGCTGGGCATCGCCAGCGTCCACGGGACACCGGAGAGCACAAGGGGCGGAGAGAACAGCATTCGAGGCAGAAAGGAACTTGGGTCTCCACGGCCAAAACCGTGTGTGGGCTTCATGTGGGTGCCATTCAAACCAGCCACTCTACGGTGGCAGTAGAGGGACAACCTGGGGCTTTCGGCATAGTGGATTATTTGCAAATGTTAAATTCTGCTCATTTCATAAAGTGTGACAATAATATTACCATTAAGTGAGGGAAAAAAATCTTTCAAATTTTCAGACTTCTTAGTCTTTTCCTTAGTTTTCTTACCATGTTGATACAATTTGAAAATTTAATTTGTTCATAATAAAAAATGACCTTAATGGCAAAAATAATTGGACAGCATAGATTATCAAGGGAGGAGGCAAAGGAGACTCAATTATTCATGCTTTTTAATCATTTTGGCCAAGTATCCCATGGATAGAGATTTTTTTGCATAGGTACTCCCAATACACTTAAATTTGTAAGTCATACACTTGTATTGTTTCACTAACGACTGTATGCTGCAAGGCAAACTAAATTTTTAAAGAAAAAACCATGCAGAATTGTTTGTCTTTTGTTCCCAAACCCAACTCTGAGGATGACTCAAGAAGGTTGGAAAACTGACCAAGTTTAACCTGAAGCATCAATTCTAACAATCAACTTCTACCCCAGTAGCCAGCAATCACTAGATGGGGACCTGGAAATCAGCCTATTTCTCAGGATCGCAGTCTTCTCCGGGGAGACTGTGGCCTCGGCCTTGTAATGGTTGTGGTTCTGCAACTTAACTGACCACAAGAGCGAGCCCAAGTAAGGCCAGCGGAGTATGCAGTGGCCTGAACTTCGGGAAGTGTGCATAATCACAGAGGCCGCACCCACCCAAAAAGAAAAGTGTCACCCCCAAAACAAAGCATGTTCATTTCAAAAGATCCTCAGTGTAAGGTACACAAATTTACTAAGACGGAAGTGTTTCACGGTATAAGCTTAGGAAGTTGGATTAGAAAAAAATTTACTTGGGTAAGATCTGACTGACATACGTGAGCTCTTATTTCCATAAAACTTACCTTAAAGGTGACTTGTTCCTCCAAACATTAATTTTGCATAAAACTTTTCTTGTAAGAAAAGACACTGAAGTCTACAGGCCAGTTTTCCTCTGAAGAAAACCTGGTCAAGATCAAGAGTTCCACCTGCAATTATTTTCCATAGTGGAAAATAAATACAGAATAATCTGCAGATACATACTCACTCCCACTTACAAAGACACAAAGGGTGAGCTTCCTCTTATTTGCACCATCTTAGTTACTGAAAGTTAAGAAACAATGAAACTTTTTCAAAATATTTTCCTTCAACAAGATACCAATACATTTCTTCCCTCTTCTGCAAATTAATATTCAGAAATTAACTTCTTGTCTCCTCCATGATCTACATATTCTGTTGTTTCCTGTTGAAAACAACTGTTCTCTGGGTCACCTTGTGGCACCAACACAGAGAATAACTTGGAATTCAGTAAAAGAAACTTTGGGAATTTTTGCTCTTCTGCTCCTTGGAGCTAAGGGGACTCCCACTCAGGAAGAAATTTCTCAGAGACCAACCCCACAAAAATGTGTAGCCAGGCACAAATCACAGCACAGCCTAACAATAGCCTGCCTCTCCGGGACTCGGCCCTCTCTCCCTGCAGAGACGCAGAGACTGAGTTCTAACACCTTGGGTTAAACTATGACTCAGTTTTCCCTTATTATTTCCAAAGCAGAAAAATCTGTCAGCTGCCGCCTTGTCAACCCTGCCTTCCTTCCTCTAGTTTACTCCCAATGAGAGGGATTCTTGTGTGTTGTCACAGAACCCTCACTGCAAAGTGCTTAGAAGTGACTTCATCTGACTGATTCTAAGGGGAATTCACACTTGGGGAAAGTTCATTGTCCTTCCTCAGGCCTCTTTTCCAGGCCAGGGCCACTAGTAAGGCTGTGGTCGGGCTTTTCATGGGCAGAACCAAGACCTCCTGACAATAGGAGAATAAGCACAAAAGTTCAAGAAATGGGGTACCACGTATTCCCCAGCCCATGTAAAATCACCTTCCAAATAGAGACGGAAATGTCTGACAAAAGCAGAGTTAGTCAAAGCTGCTTACAAAAGAAAAACAAAGCAAAACCTTCACCAAGGTTCTGAGAAATCTGAACTCCTACCTATAGCATAAATGACAGTAAATACCACTTACCAAAAACAAGAATGAACAGCGTGTTTAAAGACACCACCCAGAAGACATGTTCCTAAAAGGAAAGAGCATTCATGAGTCGCATTTCATTCCTGCTGGGTGTTGAACAGGACTACTCCACCTCATTAGTTAGGAAAACGGATATTCCTCTTTCATCTTGAAATTTCATTCCAGAAATGATGGACAACTTTCCATTTTTCATTAGATAGTTCATTAAGCTAAAACTCAAAGTTCCTAACTGTTACGTGTAGGAAAAAAAAAAAAATCAATCCATAAGCATCTCTATTACAGAAATTAATCATCTACCACAAACTATGCAAATTTTCATAATTGCCAGATTTCATTTAAATCAAATGATAATTAAAAATTTCAAATGGAGGCCCTCCCTAGGGGCTCAGCGGGTTAAAGCACAGCACTGAGAAGCTAAAGCCACTTCCGCATGAGTTCGATTCCCGCCTGCCCCGGAGGAGATCCACATGGCGAGGCAGACCTCTCCTGACCCGCCCGCTGCTCCCCTCAGCAGTGGACTTCGTCCATCTGCCTGTTCTGCTCCCCACTGTGTCTCTGGTGAAGCCTCTCGCCACCCCTGAGCCTCTGGCCTGTACCCCAGTTCTGTATGTACAAATAAATAAATCTTTAAAAAAAAATTTCAAATGGAGAAAAATTTTGAAACCACAGAGATTCTGAGCACATTTTTCTCAATGGCAACCCCTGCAGAGTCTGCTCTGTCCTGGGACGTCCGCAAGGCGGCTGCTCCTCTTGGCCATCTCCTGTGGTGCCTCCTGCTGGCGTCTAGTAGGTCTCCGCATCCTCTGCGGTCATGTGTCAGCCCCCACCCCAGGGTGTGAGCGTTACCCCTCTCCCCAGCCGGGTCACACACTTTGCTCCATGCTGAAACTCACTACCGCGTCCAGGCCTCTTCAGAAAGGTGGCTCTGCCGGGTTCCCCAATCTCCCACAAATCCAAGTGGCAAGCAGGGTGAGTTTCCGCCCAAGAGATGCCCACTGAATTCCTGCTCAATAAGCTGGCCATGACCCTCTGAATCTCCTCAGCTCTGCCTTTAAGGCTACCCAAATGGTCCTTACCCCAGCATCCTTTGTGCCTGAACCTCTAAGTCATCTGCTCTAAAAATTCCCCACTGCCAACTCCTCGCTCCCTTCCACTAAGCAATACCTGACTTAGCTCTCTCAGCCTGTGTCTCCTGTGTATTAAACACACCTTTTCTCATGAGTCGTTAACACACAGAATCTCTAAAGTTCCTTGTTTACAAGCTCGTTTCTCTCTGCTCAACTATAAAGCATCTATGAGAACACAGACTATATTCCTCATCTTTGAATTTCCCAGGAACTACTGCAACAGTTGTTGTGGTAGATACTAAGTATTTTTCACTGGAGGAATGACTATACCCTGCAAGCAAGTGTTTCCCCAGTAACGGGGGGGGGGGGGGGGGGGGGTGTTTGAGACGACACACTGCCTCAGCAACTTGCTCCTCACTTTTAAGAGACTAATCTCATTTTTGAGAGATGCTATGAAGACGTATACAGCCCAACCACAGCGTCCACGGTGACGGAGCTCAAACCTGGAGTAGGTGCTCCCAACATCACATCCTCACTAACTTTAATTACCACCAGACACACTTGTCAAGGTCCTCACACTACTGTCCTCAACTTCCTGATTCTGTCCCCACCCCCACCCAGGAGCAGCCTGCAGAGGACAGCAACACTGCAACAGCAGAGACGACAGATGGACATCATCTGGGTCTCTGGGAACACTGCTGGGCCTCTGGATGAAGAAACCCTCAAGCTCATCTCTGGACTTCCTCTTACTGCTTTAGCTAGTCTGGGCCACTCTTACTTGTGGCCAGTTATTCTGACTGCCAAAGCGACTGGAAACTCCCCCGGCAAGTGATTTTGTATGACAGAACCTGCAAAGAGCATCATTTCTTCTTTAAAGACGTGTTCCTCACCTGAGGCTCATGCTCTCTGGGAGTCAGGTAAAGCGAGATGGGGCTCAGCACGAGGGTGCAGGGACCCGACGCTCAGCCACGCGCACAGAGCTGCTGGCTAGCTGGCTGAGGCCTGGAGTGCTGCAAGTGGGGCTTTGGAAGATCAACTCGTGATTACCACTTGCTTTCTACTGTGTTTTCTTTTCTAAAATCGAGTATTAAATAATTTCCTTTTGAATAATGCTGCTTTTATGCTTTGGCAATATTTTTCTCACACATCGAGTAATCTCCAACACATCAAATAATTAAAACTCAGTGACCTGTAGTATAAAGTCAGCATATTTTGTAAATTTGAAATTACAGAACCACCAAGATAAATACTTAAGTCACAATTCCATTATGAAAAATATTAGCTTTACTTACTAGAAAGACTAGTGATCCATCAAGTCCTAGCATCTAAAATAAACAATAACATACATTAATTTAAGATGCAATAGGAATTTCTATTTAACAAAACAGGCTTATGATCCTTTCAATTATCTTTAAACACAATCCTTATCTACGACTTCCCGATTTGACCTATCAATCACAAAGAGTAAAAGAAACTTCGTATTTTGGGGCTCCTCTTATTCCAAATCATACAATCACAAAATCAAAAAGAAATTCCATTCCGGGTTTCTTACACTGGGTATTGAGCCAGCCAAGATTTTATGAGACAACTGTTTTCTTCTGTCAACTGAAACATCAGAATATTTTAATTTAAACTGTGACTTCATTTTTCTAAAGTGCAAGATTTCTAATTAAGCAAACATCCCAGTAGAACAAAGTTCACAACAGAGACCAGAATATAGAAAAAAGGTCAACAATGAATCACTGTCATATTTTCATCACAAATAATATATCACTAAATTTTCTCTAGAAACTAAAGCTGGTAATTTTGTTTTCATCAACTGTACTAACAAAATGAGCCTATCATCTAAATATGCACAACTTTAATACATTATGGTTAAAACTCTGGGACCCTGGATAGAAAGCTTACTCACTCTTTCCCACGTAAGCTCTTCTGCAGCCCGATCCCATTCTAGAGCATTCCAATTCATGTCATCTGGAAAGAGAATTGCAGTTTAAAGATTACTGATGGAACTTAACTGTACATGATAATCGCACTCTCTAAATTTGTATTTTTTAAGCCACATTTAAAAGTCTTCCATACTGAGTATTTGTTAGGTGATAAATTAAAATGCATCTAAGTAACTATAGCACATTTTTTAAAAAGGTGATCATAGAATGTGATGAGTGCTAGAAAAGAGAATTTTGTGAAAGAGGAATTCAACAGCTCTGACTCAAGAATAAATCTGGCAAATCTGAGAAAAGGAAGGAAGCCAAGAGACTACAATCATCTGAATGAGGAGGAATGCAAAAGCAAGGCAGGCAGGGATCAGATTATAACATGAGGAATGTGAAGCCTGTCCTTTACTATCTAAGGAAAACTGCTGGAAGATTTTAAAGCCAGGAGAACAGTCATAATTCTTTATGAGGCAAAGACACAGAGGCAGAAAAAGAAGGGAAGAGCGCCAGGCGATGCCACATGAGACTAACACGGACGGATACGGTGGCGACAGGAAGGAAGCAGCAGGCACGTTCTGGGAGCCTTGCAGCTAACACTTGTCTCTCTGCTCCCTTCATAGAGCTCATTCTCAGACCTCTGCTCAAGTACCGCTTACTCTGCACAACCAGGGAATCATACTTAAAATAGCTTTCTAGCAGCATTCTTGGAACAAAGCATACAGCTGCCACATGTGCAAGGAGGAATCTCTTCCACCTGGGTATTGCTACTTCTGCACTAGACCAGAAACTTCGTGAAAGCAGTCTGAGTGGGCCTCCCTGGCCACAAGGGACTATGGTGAAGGCTACGTGTGCCTTGGTGTGTGATGACATTCATCTGACAGGTGCAATCCTGTAACTATACACCTATACACACACACACACAGCTTTTTCAAATTAAAGGAAGTAATTCTTTCACACTGCAAGTTGCATTGACTTCAACAGAAGTAGCAAAAAATTAGGATTATACCAACTTATAATTTCTTCCTATCTATCCTATAAAAGTCCTGTATACAGTACACAAAATGTGCCCTGCTTCATAGGAAAGAAAATTATGCATGTAGCTCTCTAAATCTAAGTTTGCCAAAATAAAGCTAAACACAGATTAGAAATGTAACTCAAAACCATGAAACACTGAAACACGAGTCCTCGTTCCCAGTGCCGGCTGGGAGTGGACACGGGGCGGCTCTGCTTTACCCTGAGCGCCATTATTGGCATCCGCCACGTCCTCGCCACCTGCGTCGTCGTCCTCCTCGTTTTCCTCCTCCTCCTCTTCGGCCTGGCCATCCTGCGCGTCGGGGTTCTCCCCCACCACTGCATTCTCAGCTGGCGGATTTGCGGGCTGGTCGGGGGCAGCATTTTCAGCACCATGGCCTCCTGCCGGAGCCTGAAAGGATGTCAGGGACCAGAGTGTCACTGCCGTGCCCCCCTTTGCTCATTCTCAAACTGCACTCTCCGAAGTAAGCAAAACTAGCAGGCAAACACAAGCTTGCTGAAAATGGGGAAGAATTCCAAGTGCACTTTTCTAAATGTATCTGATTTCGGATCATCCGGATACTTAAGGACATCAACTCACTTCACAGTATATAGGTTACAGAAAATGGGCTGGCAGGCTGGCTACCCTGAATACATCATTTTGTAACCCTTGTTTGTAAGGCATCTCCCATTTTTAGTGACATCCTCTGGGATGAAACATTTATGTATCTGTCTCTTTACACATACCAATCTTGGTATCAACTGAACACTTGAGGAAAGGGGGCACGCATGTCCCTACGGACCGCCACGTCCATGTTCACCCTCTCTCTACCAGCTCTTCTGAGGTCTAATTCCTACAAATGCAGGGTCGTATGTGTAGTTCACTAGCACACTGAACTTCCTACCAGATGATGAAGGCTATATAAAAGTATAATGCATTACATGCTTCAAAACATTGGGTATAATGACAAGAGTATTGCAGTCCTTCACTTTAGGTGTGTGGTTCTCAAAAGAGATGATGCTATCTTAATTCTGTGGCAGAAAAGGTATTGTAACATTCTGTGCAATTAATCGACAGATAGCAGAAGACACTGAAAAAAGCAAAACAACCTAAAATGAAAAACTAAGTTGCCATTTATTATTTTCAGTATTTTATAACTTTTGAAGTACAAATTGTTTTCACAGGTAAGTGGTTACTTTTCAGACATTTTTACTCTGACCATGTCTCTGCCAGCAAGATAACAAAAACCATAATCTCCTCCTCTTCGCAAAGCTTCTGGCAAGTGCTCTTATATCCAAGCATACCATCTCTCCTAAAGAAAAAGTGTAACTGCACTGGAGTCTTGTAATAGGGTTTCAGTTTTTCTACTTTGGGTTATGATCCTCCTGGGAACAGCAAAGGTGAGGATGTCATCTAAGAGAAACCGATGAACAGAGAGGAGAGGCAGGTGCCTTAACACCAATACCACAGGCTGGCAGTAGAGGCAGAAGTCTGCACCTTAACTTCCAGGTCAGCATTAAGCCATTAACTCAGGAAGGGGAATGAAATGCACATTACTACATCTCAAGACACTGTTCCCTCTCTGTCTGGAAAATTAAGAGGCGAAAACACAGCTGCATTCTTTTGACCTTTCCCATCACCCTTATCCTCTTCCCAAGTCTTTGCACTTCCACGTTTGCAGTAGGGGCCATGGGAGTCGTAGCTGGGTCTGAGAGGATTACAACAGTGCTCAAGCCCTATCCAAACGACACCAACTCCTGAGTGAAGACACATACCTCATTTTGGTGGTGCCCAGCAGCGTTGAAGGGCGGGGCAGCGTGCTCCAGCCAAATCGGCGCCCCGCCGTGGACTATCTGCTCTCGCAGCCACACCAGGCTGATGAAAGCACATAGCGTGCAAGTCACCACAAAACAACCCTGCAAACAATCTGCCAATAAATTGTCCCTATTAAAAAGAAAAGTTTGTAGAATTACTCCAAAAAATACTTAAAAGATGCATTAGGTAACAGTATTTCATTCTACACTAAAATCTCAATAAGAACAGCCAGAAAAATCATCATTTGCTATGTGAAAATTCAGTTCTTTAAAAATAATTATTTCTGGGCCCTCCCTGGTGGCGCAACAGGTTAAAGCACAGTACTGTGAAGCCGGCCGCAGCCACTTCAGTACAAGTTCCATCCCTGGCAGGGAGTGACCCACAGGGCACAGCAGACCTCTCCTGACAGCCCCCCGCTGCTCCCCTCAGCAGTGAACTTCATCAGTCTGCCTGTTCTGCTCCCCGCTCTGCTTCTGGTAAAACCTCTCGCCACCCCTGCACTTCTGCCCTGTTCTGTATTCATAAATGAAAAAAAAAATTTTTTTTTTTTAAGGCTAGAAGTGTGGTGGGTAAGAGGGTTCACCAGAGACAGAGTGGGGAGCAGAACAGGCAGATTGATGAAGTACATTGCAGAAGGAGGCAGCGGGCGGGTCAGGACAGGTCTGCTGCGCCATGTGGGTCAGCTCCCGGCTGGGGATGGAACTTGTGCTGCAGTGGCTTCTGAGAGCTTCATAATGCGGTACCTTGACCCACTGAGCCACCAGGGAGAGCCCAATGAATAAATCTTTTTAAAAATAATTATTATTATTTCTGAGGATAGTGAAATTCTTATAAGCTAGCCAGATTTACTTATTCATATATTCGTATTATGTGTGTTTATAGTTTATCAAGCCAAAAATAAAACACCTCAGCACCATATGGAAATGAGCTATTTATCACATCTCTTGGAACAGGGCTGAGAAGCAGGAAAGCAACAAGGAAAACACCAGAAGCACCTGTCACCATTTAAACAAGCCAGCACCTGTCAAAGCTGGAGCAGCACATGTGTGCCGACTGTCCAGGTGAACGACTATTCACCCTCATGAGGACTTTCCTTATCCTTACTTCACACACAGCTTTACCATATCAACTATGGTCAAACCAGTGAGCAGCAGCAGCAAAGCTGAAAGGCAGAGAAGAGCCTCCTGGAAGACCCCGGGCAGGGAAAGCAGGCAGGATTTCTGCAGGGAGCTACAGGGCAAGCGCACCTGCCACACGCCCCAAAGACCTGCCATTCAGGAAGCAGGTTAAGTTTTATACTAACTGCAAACACTGTACAAGTATTTTAGTTCCTTAACAAATTCAGACAGACAAACTATGGTTCCTTTGGCAATCGTACATGAAAACATGGCGTATCGTAACACTGAGTATTGTAACAAAGACATCATCTTTGTTCTTTTCCTCTCTGAAGTTTATTCTTCCCTAGTCTAGGTCCGATTCCAGAATAATGCCAGGATAACTGGGGAATCCTGGCAGTCATTAGAAATCCACTCACATATGGTGGATTCATATGTGAGGTGACCTTCGACCATAGAAAAGCTGGGGAGGGTCAACGTGGAAGACCTCAACCTCAGCTTAGCATCTCCAAATTTGACTAGACTCATGTAGCCCTCAGGTTTTATATGAAATAGACCCTAATCAAAGAGGACTCCCAACCCTCCCCCCACCCTTGCTAAGGAACCTCCAGACCATTAAAGCTTTGACGGGTTGGGTCTAAAATACTGACTTCCCTAGTCCTCCTTAGCACTGGCACGAGAAACAACTGGGCCCTCCCTAAATGGGTTAAAGTGCAGCACTGTGAAACTGGCTGCAGCTGCTTCAGCACGTTCAGTCCCCATCCAGGGAGCGACCACATGGCACAGCAGACCTCTCCTGTCTCACCCGCTGCTCCCCTCAGCAGTGCACTTCATCAATCTGCCTGTTCTGCTCCCTGCTCTGTCTCTGGTGAATCCTCTCCCTGCCCTTACACCTTTGGCCTGTACCCCAGTTCTGTATGTATAAATAAATCTTTTTTTAAAAAGAACTGCTGGTTGCAGATTTTAAATAGAAACAAACTCTTTGTGAAATTGTTTTTTTCCTTGCACTTTGAATCTGGACATGTTTTATAAATAGTCTGGTGTTGCTACCAGAGTTCTAGCTTAGAAGCTTCCACTATGACCCTTTCTGAGGCCACCACGGAAAGGCTGCACTAGCCCTCTGGAAGATACCAGGCCAAGTGAATGAGAATCAAGACACCCCAACCAGGGACATCCTGGCAGCCAACTCTAGGGCAGCCCATAGCAACTGAAGCACCCCACCATGAACCTGATAAGCTAAGGCCAGTCCTAATGGCTAATGCCAGAATTAGCAAACAAGAACAAAACAAGTTTTGGCTATTCAGGGTCTTTTGTTGTTCCATATGAAGCTCATCAGTATTTTTTCTATTTCTTTGAAGAATGTCATTGAGACTTTTATTGGGATGGCATTAAATCTGTATATCGCTTTTAGTAGGATGGCCATTTTGATGATGTTAATTCTCCCAAACCATGAGCAGGGGATGTCTTTCCATTTCATGGTGTCTTCTTGAATTTCTTTTAACAGTGTTTTGTAATTTTTTTTGTATAGGACTTTCACCTCTTTTGTTAGGTTGATCCCCAAGTATTTGATTCTTTTTATTTTAATTGAAAAGGGGATGGCTTTTTTTTATTTCTGCTTCTTCTGATTGGTTGTTTGTGTATAGGAAGGCCTCTTATTTTTATGTGCTCATTTTATATCCTGCTACCTTGCTAAGCTGGTTGATGGTTTTCTCTGTGGAGTTTTAGGGTTTTCCATGTAAATTAACATATCGTCTGCAAATAAGGACCGTTTTACACCACTACGTTTTGGGGACAAGATGTTTTGCAGCAATTGGAAATTGCTACACCATGCCATGCCTAGCGAAGACCTGGAGAACTTAGCCACAGAATGGGAGAATTTCTAAGAGATTAAGAAATTTTAAGTATAATTTCAGAAATATAATTTATTCTATAGGGAAAATGAACATTACTAAGAAAAAATTCATTACCAAAACTTTCAGAGAAACTGGTTCAATTCTTCAAACTGTACAAGGCAGCATGGAATTATAAACACAAGCCATATTTACAATTTCTTTGAACTATCCCCACCAGCCTCCAGCATGCTCCCAGAGTGGATGATTGCTCCCAAGAAAGCAACTCAGGAGAAGCCCCCACCAGTCAGATAAGAAGGAAGGACAGCCTGCCCAGGTAAGACACACAGCAATGTTCAGTTTCAGTGATCTGACTATACATTTTAACACAGTGCTCAAATTTTACATATTGTTTCTACATATATTTGAGTGGTGAGGATTCACCACTCAAAACACCCAGGTAAGCTCTTCCTCACTTTGCACATGAGGAAACAGGTTCAGATAGGTTCAATGGGATTTTCCCAAAATCACCAGAAAAAAGCAGGTGCAGAGGACATTTTTTATTCCCAAGTGAGTGTTCATTCTGCTAAAACCAGCTCCCTAAATGATCCCACTTGGCAAAAACCAAACGTTCAATGCTTGCACAAAAAGAAGTAAAGGTGGCCGTTAAGTGGAGTACTACCTTCTTTACCTGGCATTTGCACTGACACAGATCTCACAAAAACCTGTTTTTCACATAGGCAAAGGCTACCAATTTAAGCATAATTTGAACATTGGTGAACATTAACATATTTTGCCATTTAAAATGGAAACCGGGGCCCTCCCTAGTGGCACAAGGAGTTAACTCAGCACTATGAGGCTATCACCAACCACTGCAGCACGGGTACTATCCCCCACCAGGGAGCTGACGCACATGGTACAGCAGACCTCTCCTGTCTCCCTGCTGCTCCCCTCGGCAGTGTACTTCCTTAGTCTGCCTGTTCTGTTCCCCACTCTGTCTCTGGGTTATCTTCTCACCCCACACATACCTCTGGCCTGCACCTTTTCTTATATGCAAAGGTGAATAGTTCTTTGAAAAAAAAAAAAAATATATATATATATAAACTACTGAAGAAGTTAATGTATCTCTGCTAAGAAACACCGATAAGAACTCATTTTACCATTTCTAGACAAGTGAGACACTAACTGCTACACTACACTCCTAAAAATGACAAGTATAAAGTTTAGTAATGAGCTACAATGGAACAAGATTTTCCTGTTAGTTTTTCCCTGTTGATTAGTATATAAGTGCTAAAATATAACTTCCAACACTCTTAGCAGTCACCTTTTGCTTTTCCTAGCCTTCCCTCACTACTTCTCAAATGCATCTGTTTCATACACAAGTTCTAGATAAAAGTCAGACTCGAACTATGTCATTTGCATGAGGTTGTAATGAATGACAATTGAGCCACTGGAGACTGATTTGGTTTTGTGACCAAGCTGTGTTCGACGTGGCTGGGTCTGAAAATCTGATGCCCACACACAGGAAAGTGGTTCTTTCTGATTCTATTACATCACTCCATGGAAGTTCTGTATTGTTATAAACGGGTTCTCTTGCTACACACTATTTCCAAACTTTGGAGTGTGTCAAAATTACTGCTTCTCCTTTTTGGTCACAGTCCTAGTCATTGGTGCCTTATTTTCAAGGTCCTTTCCTACTTCTAAAGATTACTTTCAGGCCCTCCCTGGTGGCTCAATGGGTTAGGACACAGCACTGCAAGCCACTTCAGTGCGAGTTTGATCCCCGGCCCGAAAGGTGACCCACAGGGCATGGCAGACCTCTCCTGTCTTGCCCTCTGCTCGCCTCAGCAGTGTACTTTGTCGATCTGCCTGTTCTGCTCCCTACTCTGTCTCTGGTGAATCCTCTCACCGCCACTGCACCTCTAACCTGTACCCCAGTTCTGTATGCATAAATAAATCTTTAATAAATAAGTAAATACTACGTTCTCAGAGTTGTTTTTCTATAAAGAATCAAACAAAACTCTACTGTAAACAATGTTCAAGCTCAAAACATCTTCATTTATCTGGTCCCTGTACTGCCAGGGACACGGATAGAAAATAACCTGCCTGTTCTACCCAACAAGGTAGAACTGGTGTGTACAAAAATGTGTCACAGACAAGTTTCATTTTTCTGAGCATTTTCAACCACGATTTAAAAAAATGAAGCAAACATAAGAACTCTCCTTAACTTGTGTCTATCGGAAATTTAACCTGCTATTCTGCTGTTCTATTGCCACTTGGCTTGTGTTTACAAAACAGCAATATTCTCTGGATGCTTCTGTTGACAAGAGCCTTAACTCTGTTGTCTTTTCTACCATAGAGATCAGAAACCTAAGGTCAACTGAGTATGTACAAAAAAAGATTTAGCAAATGGGGACACAATCTTTTGTAAACTAAGAATCGGTGATGATGTGGTTATTTACATCATTTCTAATTCTGACATTAATGAAACGTGGGTATTTCCGCCCCAAAAAAATGACAATGGCAAACTGAGATACAATAATGCAACTAATGTGAACATGCTTTTAAAATCACAAAAAAAATATTTTTCATAAATCTGAATTCAAATGTACATACTGTTAAAATGTCATGCTTAAATAAACTCAGCATAAGAACACATAGTATATTCCCTGGTCTACACCAGACTATTAAATAACCCACCCACCTTCACATAGCCCCTTATGACAAGCATGTCTTAAAACAAACATCATTTAGGAGTGTAGCTGTAACTGCTACAATGAGACACAGGTTACAAAGTATGTGCCCAAAACAGAACTTGCACAACAGCTGGAGGAAGCTCGGGCACCCACCCACCTCCCTAACCCTCTGCCCCATACTCACGTGGACAACATGTCCAGCGGCAGTGTCAGCAGTGAGCTCACGGAGCCAGTAAACAAGCACTTGTAGATGCGGCCTGCCGGAAAAGGCACATGGGTCACGACTCGCGGCTTGCCCCCATTACTTTTAATGCCTCATGACACCACCTTTCCCGTCTACATCTAGCGCATCTCTGAACAAGCAACTTGAAAAGTTCTCGCTTCTATCCTCCCCTCATCACTTCTCCCTTGCTAAGGATCCTCTGAAATTTTCATTTAACTGTTACTAAAAACTACTTGTTCCTCTAGCTTAACGATTCTGCCTTTGCTGTAAGCCACACGTGATTCCTGTTGGGTACAGTCACAACTGCTGGAGTCCTTGCTCAGCTGAGAAAGGCAGTGCCTTTGGAAAGAATTTGAGGTGGTGCACTTTCATGCCCTTGCATCGACTGAAGTATGCCCCGTGTTCATCTCAAGACTATTTTACGGGTTGAAGACTTTAGTTTCAACTTTTTGTGAAATTCTGAAGCTTCTGCTGCTTCTGGCATTCAGTGCTGTTGATGCAAGTCCAGTGTCTTAGCAGGGCAAGCTGAAGTGCAGCATACACACCCTGCCCGACTGGAATGGTCAGAAGGCAGTGGCTTGGAGTCCTCGTCCTCTCGCCATGGGCTAGTTCTCAGCCTGCACGGTGCCTGCACCGCTCCTCTCCACATCTCTACCCCTTGGAATGTTTGCTAGACAATGAGCCACAGGATGAAGCTCCATTTCTGCTTTCCCCTCACACTTGCAACTTTTTGCAGCTCTGAGCTATATCCTGGTGAGAACACTGTGTTCAATCTTCTAAGCTTACTAACTCAGCTCTCAGCAGCACCTGTTTGGCTACATGGTCCAGTTCCCAAATTTCTCATTTCAACTTCTCCTTTTATGGTAAGGAGACAGAAGGATATTAACTACACTTGTTTAAAAACCTTTTTTTGCATTTAATGCCACAGAATCATTATTTACAGACTCTGGCTCCAGCCACTATCTATAACTTCCATGTATTTAAGAACCAAGACTCCAAAAAGGATCAACTAATGGTTAGTACACTGACTGCCCAAAGAGTCTTCTCTGTTTCAAAGAAAGGCTTCCCAGTTATTCAGGACAATTAGATGTGAGTGTCTTTGAGAAGGCTAAGAGATGTGGAGATCTCCAAAGAACCTATCTTCCACAATACTTGAAAATGCTAACATACCTCAAGGATAAAATTAAAATTGCTTCCAATTATGGTTTCATTTTGCTTCCCCCCCTAAATACCTGAAGTGTTTCTTTTCCGCATCAATGAACTGACCAGTTAAAAAACAGTTCTTAATAAAGGTGAATAATGTCTCTAAGAAAGGTTGTCCTAACATAAGACACAGTAATATTAAATAATTAAATTTCAAAAAAAGAGTAAAACGTTATACTATTAAATAGTTATGTAGAGTTTAAGTGAGTCTACCCGCAGAAGACTGAAGGAATACTCACATGCTGTAAGAGGAACAACTCCCAGCCATGCAAAGGCCACAAGTGTATAATGAAACCAGTATCGTATTGCAGTGCCAATACTTGTAACCAGTCCAGCAAATATGTCTTGGATAGGAAGCCGTGAAGGCATATCTGGGGAGTAAACTATAAAAGGAAAAAGGTACATATAACTTCGTATTTTTTTAATTGTACATGTAAATAGGAAAAAGGCATGTAGAGCTATCTTAATTTCCAATATTTATAATACATTTAAATAGTTTTCCTCTTTTAAGAGACCCAAATAAGACATAGGGGGAAAGTGTAATTTTATTACAATATAAAACAAAACAAAAACAGACATTTACAAACCAGAGACATCCTACAGGGGAGGAGGCCAGAGCGGAAAGGAAGGAGGGCAGAATGTGGGGGCTGTGGGGATGACGGCTGAGCAAAGTGGGGGGAGTAAACACTTTTAAAATGAATAATACAGATGCATAAATAAAATGTTAAACATGTTTTTAAATATTTTTTCCTCTTTAAAAACGTGAATCAAATCATTACAATGCCACATTTACCCCGAAATTAGTTATGAGAGCATATGACATGCAAAATGTAAAAATCAATAAAAAAGGCTTCTGAGCAGGAAGAATCAACAGAAAGCTCCCATTCCTCAATCGTAGCCTCTACCTCATGCAAAGCTAATTTACAAGTAATTTAGCATTCAACCAAAATAATTCACTTGTTTTTAAGCCATAAAAAGTCAGATAAATCTAGCAGGAGCGACAGGTGAGTGAGTGGTGTCCTCGGGAGGCCCCCGCCCCACACAGACAGACGACTGGGCAGCTGGGCGTGAGCGCTGGAGGAGGGCCACACCACTGCAGTGCAGCGCCCGGGCTACACAGGAGGCTTCAGAGCTTACTGCTTCTCTGCAGGTGCGATTCAGCACAGAGCAACAGTTTGCCAGGTTTAGAAAGTTCCCTTTCTAAATGATTCCAACGAAAACCACTGTTTCACCACAGGTAACTCAGAACACACAAGGGAACAAATGATTCTTTCTCCAATGAGACCAAAACAAGGAATTATGATGTATGAAGTTTTAAAAGACAGTGAGCTAAGTTTAGAGTGCACTATTACAAAGCTGCTCACAGCTATAAACCTTTAGGATTAAACAATCAACAATTTTATAACACAGCTAAAAAGATCACTCATTATAAGAGGATGTTTCATTCATAACAGCAAGTCACTATACCAGTAAAATATAATTTTGAGACAAATTAAAAAAAAAAAAAACAGAGCATGATTATCAAATGAAATCTAAACTGTGCAAACACAAGCTTTTACCAGACTCAAAGAAGCTCAGTATTCCCTATCAAACCTTATGAAGATATTAAGTTACTTAACCTTTCATAACCATGACACAGAAACAAAGTAAAACTAATCCTATTTACACTACTCAGTATTTTAAGATGGTCTAAACCCCTCCCCCAAAAAACCCAGGATAAAAATTATACTTCAAATTCTTGACATTTGCCAAAATATAGCTCATTTAAGAGTTATATTTACACTAAATATTACCCAACAGACATAGGATATACCCAACAGACATAAAATATACTTGAAATTTTAAAGACCTGTAATACTAAGATTTAAGAAGTCTTACTTTTAAAAGGGTAATTTAAAACTTAGCTTATTGTTTTCTACCCTATACAATTTTAACTCAAAAATATCCTAAGCTTGGAACTGGACAGTTGATAAAATCAAGGCACCACTATCTGTTTTTCCAAGTGAATATTATTAATATAGTCATGTTTGTTAAAAAAAATCCATACTTTTGAGAAATATATAATAAAATGTATAGATGAAATCATAACTTTGCTTTAAAAAGGCTGCATTAGTGGGGGAACAAGAACACAGATGATTCCATGTAAATTAAGTCAGGAGTTGAAAATGGGTGAAACTGAGTGACAGGTGTCCACAGATTGTGTATGTTTGAGCTTGTTTATTAAAAAAAAAACCCCACAATATGGGGGTGGAGTGGGGAATGGGATCAAAAACGGGGTGGGGGTTGCACTGGACTATGGTGATGGCACATGGGTGACTTGGTGATGGGAAACCCACTGGAATTACAATTGAGATGAAAAAAAAAGTAGAAAATGATGTAAAAATAAACTATTATATTATATATATATAATAAAAAACACAATATGCTTTTCTTCCTCTTTCACACTCAGACATACATGCTTAGTTTAAAGCTGACATGAAGTTTGTAAAAATACTTTCTAAAGTGTTATGGTAATATTATTACTAGTAAGTACAAATTAAAACATAGTTGCTTTAAAACTGTGTACACATCGTTATATAGTAAGCCAGTCCCAAAAATTACAATGGAAACTTCTGAAGAACTTACTTGGTGTGAAAGCAAATCTGTGCTTGCATAATTCACAGTATTCTTTTCGACTGTGTTTCAGCCACTGAACTAAGCTGCAATTAATTACAAATACTTTCATTAGTACAGTGTTCATAGTAAAGAACTTTCAGGCTTAACTGAAAACTAATGTTTTATTAAAACCTTACACATTGTAGTGCTTCAACATTTTCAAATTTAGAATATTCTTAACTTTTTATAACTAATATCTCTAAGAATACAGAACTATAAAAGATAAAAGCAAAAGATAAAATTGCACTTTCCTTAGAAGTAACTGACTTTCAAAGACCCTCTTAGCACAAACATCTTCTCGTCTAATACTTGTCTGACAATCTTGATACTTGGTGGCTAAGTCTGAACTTTGGTTCTGTTACTACTAGCAGGCTGTGTGACCTAGGACAAATTATTTAACTTTCTATGCTTCATTTTCTTCATCTGCGTAAAAGTACTCCAACTCACATTTTTGTTGTAAGAATTAAAGTAAGTAAAAAGCACTGAGCATTTACCTGAAACAAAGTACTTAATAAATGTAAGCTTTTATCCTGCCAAGCAAAACTAGGAAACACTGTAACACTTACAATGAACAAAATAAATAAGCTCTCCATGATAGAAATAAACAAATGGGTACTCATAAATATCTAGAAGATAATATACCAAAATGACAGGCATAAAATATGATTTCCAAATTTTTGTAACAAAAATTTTTAATTCTAATTATAGAAAAAAAGCAGTTCAGACATTAATTTTTCTAAAAAGATGACTCACCATTCTTGATGGATAAATTTAATACTGCCAGTACATACACAAGGGTGATAAAGAGGTTTCTCAGGTGTTCCTTCTGAGCGACAAACCCTACATATGTCTGTTAGTGAAAAAGAAAAGTTGAATTATCTGTTACAACTTTTTTAAAAATTTTTCAAACCACAGAGACCTAAAATATTACATGTTAAAGCAAGAATCTATTACTTGGTTTAAAAAAAACAAAAAACTAATCAACAGCACAGTGAACTAAAAAGTATGATTAAGATGGCAATTAAGTAAAACTCCCTAATATGTTAGGTCAACTGTTTACATTTAGGAGCTCTGTAAACAAATCAAAGTCAAAAGTAACAAATAGTTTATTTTATTTAAAACCACTCTTCTGTAAGTCCTAGTCCTAACAGTTACAAGCCCTAAGTCTTGACAGTTTAAAAACCTCAAAAATTCATCTGAGGACTGAACATCCTCGAGCAGGCGGGCACGGCGACGTCCTTTGGCATCACCTCACTCTGGGAGTGGTGCTGCTAACAAAACCCACAGGCACACTTTTAGGTCAGGGGAAGCTCATCAAAGACGTGAAGGCACCAGGAGAGAGAGGGCAGATGACTTGCGACTTACTTGTCCCCCATTCTCCCCGCCTCCACTGCCACTTGTCTCCATTACAAGTTCCACAGAGCACATCTGTCCAATCCTCCCCTGCCCCCCAGATGGTGGTGACAGGAGGAGGAGGAGCTATCCTTGCTCCTCAAAGTTCCTCCCCCAGACTACCTCAAGCCAGGAGAGACGTCAGTGATCACCAGTCAATGCTGACCCCAGAGGAAAATCTGATGGGGGCCCAGCAAGATGAGCTTTCTATCTATTCTGGAATCCTCGTTAATGGAGAGGAACTGCAATTCAGATCCATCACCAACTAGGATTCGCACCCGCTCCAGTCAGGCCCGCGGGTTCTGGATGTAAAAGCACCAGACTTCTCACTACTCAATCTCTGGCAGATGGACACCACTTTCAGAAGTTCAGCTAATCGAAGCACTCAGGCTGGCCTAAACAGTTAACACTCTGGCCTCCCATTTATTGATAATCCTGGAAAACCACTCCACCAGTGCCGGAAGGTCAAGTTCTATCCCACCCCCCAAAACAGACAAGCTATCAAGGGGCTGATCCTGGTCCACAGGGCCCCAGGTCTGGTGGAACCGACTTCTCACCAGCTACAAAGCTAGGCTTTTCAGTTTCCACTTGAATCAGACCCTCGGCTACCCACCCAAAGGACTTTGGTTTCCCAGAAACTACTGGAGGGTTATGGACATGAGGTTAGCTAGCCGTGGCTTGGCACTGTGTCTGAACCTTTTCTATATGGGACATAAACCTTTTCAAATATCCCCTTCTACAGTCACTCTTGATGAATGAAAACAGTTTAATACCAAGCTCCCACTATACGGCCTCGGTCCCCACCAAGTTTGACACACATAAAACACAACTGCACGTCCATTCCATGCAGCCCAGCAGTAGGGTCCGACAGCTGGTGCTGTTTTGAGCACTCTTGATTTTCTCTAAGAGCACACATTAGCCTGAAGTAGGCAGATGCAGGAAGGGCACCGAGAGGCAAGGGCAGGAACGCCAATGTAGGCCCCCAGTGGCGGACCACAGCTGGGCAAGATTCAAGGCACAAACATTTTAACTGCCTCAAAGTCAAACCAGATTACCACTGCAGGGGCACCAGTCTCATTCCTTAAAGGATTTAGTAACTAACTCTAAGTCCAGAGGCTCGAAAGAGCCCACAGTTGTTTATCATCATTGCCCTCCCAAGTCATGAGTAGGACGGGGCCGTTTATCAGGGCCCCCTGTGTAACCTGTGGATTTCAGATCACTGTGGTAACCTCAGTAGGCACTACCCACTTCCACCCAAAGGAGTTGGTAGGGCCAGAGTACTGTGATGGACCTTGGGTTATACAATCATCAGGGCCAAGGACTAGTGGGCATGAATTAGTTCTTGAATTACCAAAGTTAGCTGGCAGCAGAAACAGTGCACAGTCATTCACATAAACAGACACTCATGGAGTAAGCCCGAGGGTTAATTTTTAAAGACAGGTATTTGCTACTGCAGTGGATGGCCTGACTGCAAGGGCCGTCAAGTGCAAGGGCGTCCCACCCTGTCCTGCAATACAGCCCCACTCCCCAGTCGGGAGGGTTTGAAGTGAACAGGGCACAACAACTGAAGTGGCCAAGGGATGTGCCCCGAGCCAAGACACAGTGCAGACACTACTGCACTCACAAAGGAGCGTCATGAAGCTGCCCTCCAGAACACGGTGCTGGTCAGCCACAGCTATACCACGATGTACTGGGATAGGGCAGGGAGGGCTCTTGTTGGCACAAGGCTGAGAACGTGATGCAGGGACAAAAGGGGAGTGACAGACAAGTGGCTGCAATGGCTGGCACTGACGGGCTGCCCTGTGAGAGGAATCCATGTGGCACAAGCAAACTGCAGGCAGTTCAGGGGCTCTCGCCTGAGGGAGGGACACATCTCCGCACACTGCCTAGTCCTGGGGAAGGCCTAGGGATAAGTGGCATAGAGGTGGGGAAGGAGGGGCTAGGGACGCCAGACCTCCGTTTTAAGGGGCTGCACAAAACATACATGAAGAGAGAGCACTGATTTATTTTCAGGAGACTCCACCCCTCTGAAAGGCACATAAACACACACAAAACTAAGCAACTACAACAAATTCAAACCAATCCCTGGCTCAGCTTGACATAGTCTAGAGTAGAGAACTGGGACTCACCTGGCTCCAACATATGCAAAACTACTTTTGTTCTAACTCTAGGAAGGCTGCCTTTTGTCTTGCCAACCACAGTGGAGAGATAACTGACTGAAGGCAGCTTCTTCACGTTCAACCAGACATTTAAGAGACATGCAAATGTAAAACCTACTCTTCTCACTCTTTTTGGTTTGGAATGTAGTTATTCCATGGGGAACACTGTATTAGCACACAATGGGTGTGTTAAGTGAATTGGTATGGCAAATGGAATTTTTTTCTGAGTCTATAGGACCTTCAGATTCTAAAGAAGAGTATTGAGAGCTAAAAAGTTCAAGAATCACCACTAGACAGTAGTGAGATACACACACATACACCCCTTTGGGAAGGTGGGAACCAGAGAACAGTTATGCCTCTCTCAAAACAACTTAAGGGCCTCTCTGGTGGCAAAAGGGTTGAACTCTCAGTACTATAAAGCTATTGCCAGCCAATCCTGCCCAGGAAGGAGACCACATGGGGCAGCAGGCCTCTCCTGTCTTGCTCTGCTGCTCTCCTCAGCAGTGTGTTTCAGTAGTTCTGCCTGTTCTGCTCCCCACTCTGTCTCAGTGAATCCTCTCACATCGCCCTGCACCCCAGGTATATACCCCAACTCTTCTACATGTAAATAATCTTTAAAATAAATAATTTTTTAAAATATAAGCAAAGCTTGAACATGAAATTTGTAAATGCCATAGCTGAAATTTTACTGCAACTTCCAAAGTCTAATTTTATCAATTAAGCTCTTCAACAGGTCTTAGCAAATGGTTGATTTAACAAGAATATAAATTTGAAAACTCATTCTTGTTTCACCGTATTTTTTAAATGTATTTAAAACTGTCATTGGTAGTATCTCCATCAGGATTACAGAATAGAGTATTATTTAAATGAGAACTATGTCAGCATTCTTAAAAGTCTATTTCTATGTAACCTACAGTCAAATTCTCATTTTAAATCATTTAGTATAAATGACTAATACAGAATTTGGTCCAAGAAACAATATCCTATCTGTTGCAGTATTGATGTTTTTCTCCCACAGGTGACTAAGTTATTTTTTGTTCAAGACAGTCTTGCCCTAAATAGAAAGACAAATTACTGGCATAAATCAACTAGCATGGTGATAAGCCCTCACTATAAAACTCTTGTACGGAAAGTATTCAGCAGTTGATCGGGCCCCTGGTCCTGCTCTGACTGTATGTATCATGGGCATAACCACCATCCAAGTAGGCATCCAAGGGGATCTGATCTTCCTTGAGCTCTGCCTTATGCCCAAAGGTGCCTTTCACAGTATTCTATATATCCTAATGCTTACTCTTTCACCCTTTCCTAACCATTATTATCATAGGATCCAGCAATTCTATTCCCAGGTTTATAACCTAGTGAATGCTCACACAAACACATCTGGTTAAGAAGTACCTATGGGACCCTCCCTGGTGGCTCAATGGGTTAAAGCACCGCATTATGAAGCTCTCCAAAGCCACTGCAGCATGAGTTCGATCTCCAGTCAGGGAGCTGAACCACAGTGTAGCAGACCTCTCCTGACCTGCTCGCTGCTCCCCTCAGCAGTGTATTTCAGTAGATCTATCTGTTCTACTCCCCACTCTGTTTCTGGTGAACCCTCTCATGTCCTGCACCTCTGGACTGTAACCCAGTTTATATGTATAAATAAACCAAAAAAAAAAAAATTAAAACCTTTCAAGATGAGACAGGTAATGTGAGCCTTTGTAACACATATGAAATATGGAAAATGTCCATGACTCAACAACCCAATATATACCAAAGGATCAATACACAACATTACAAAACCAGCCCTGAGTAAGAAACAAACCCTGGAATAACACTGTAAGTCTATGTTTACCTTTTTAAGAAACTGCTACAATGATTTCCAAACTCAATGTACCAATCTACACTCCCACCAGTAGAATAGGAAGGTTCTTTTCGCCCACATTCTCATTGATATTTGGTAGGGGCAGTCTTCATCACTTCAGCCACTCAAATATATATATAGTGCTGTCTCACTGTATGTTGAACTTTCTAATGCTTTATTGGAATATTGCATACTATATAGAGTTCAACAACTTTAAGTGCACATGTCAACAGTTTTGAATATAATATAGTTAAGGAACAACATCGTAGTCTAATTTTTAATATCAATCCACAAGAAACTATTAACCACCACTACCCATTCTGTTAGCTCTATCCACTAATCTACTTTCTCTCCATATAGATTTGCCTATTTATAACCAATTGGACCCTATAAAATCTGGTCTCTCATGGTTTCTTACTTAGAAAGTTTATGAAGGGCATCCAAGCTGC